AGAAATAAATAATTGGTTAGTCTCTAAGGTGCCACAAGTCCTCCTTTTCTTTTTGCGAATACAGACTAACACGGCTGTTACTCTGAAACCTGTCATTATGAAAGGCACTGAATTTAGCCGTATGGAGTGGAAATCTATCAACTTCATGAATTTTAATTTGTTAGTCTCTCAGGTGCCACAAGTACTCCTTTTCTTTTTAAGAAATAAAAGTAGAAACACAGTCTAAACCAGGGGTGGGGAACCTCCGGCCCACGAGCCAGATCCAGCCCCCTGCTTAATTTCATTCGGCCCACGGCAAGTATCTGCGCCATGGGCTGGAAGCCCCGAGCCTCGGTGCCCCACATGGGGCTGTAGCGAGCAGCGGCTTGCCCTGCTGTGGGGGAAGCGAGGGTGCCAGGCTGGTCGGGTTGGCTGCCCCTGCAGCTGCTAAGCACAGGGGTGATCAAGAAAGTTCAGAGTCTGCATGCGCTTACCACCGCCTGCAGGCGCTGCCCCTGCAGCTCCCATTGGCCGGGAACCGGAGCAGGGGCAGTGCCTGCGGGCGTTGTCCGCACACACAGCACAGAGCCACATGGTCACATCATGGGCTGCTTCCAAGAGCAGCAGGGGGCCAAGGCACGGGGGGGGAGCCTGCCTTAGCCCCGGCACCGACGAGGAGCCACCTGAGATAAGCGGCGCCCCACCGGAACCTGCAACCCAACCCCCTGCCCAAGTCCTGAGCCCCCTCCCAGAGCCTGCACCCCCGCCCCAACCCCCTGCCCCAGCCCTGAGCCTGCTCCTGCACTCCAAACCCCTCGGCTCCAGCCCGGAGCCCCCTCCTGCACCCTGAACCCCTCATTTCTGGTCCCACCCCAGAGCCTAGGAGAAGCCCCGAGCCTCCACACACACACACACACACACACACACACACACACACACCCCCGCCGCAGGGCTGTGTGTGGCCTGTAACCGATTTTTTATGTGAGTCAGTGGCTCCCAATAGAAAAAAGGTTCCCCACCCCTGGTCTAAATTCTAACTTTAACAGACTAAGCAAGATCTGAACGAAGCAGTCTCTCACCCTAAGAGATGTTACAGCAGCTGACAGTTCTCAGTACACAGGCTGGATTCCCTTCCCAGCCGGGGACCAGTCTCCTCAGTTCAAAGTCTTTGTCTTCCAGATGCTGAGATGGGGGAGGAGAGAGGCCAAGTGATGATGTCACTGTCCCTCTTTTAAACTTTCCTCCCGCTGCTAGGAAGATCCTTGCTGTGGCGTGGGTTAACCCTCACTGGGCATGTGCCCTCTCTGAGGAGTCTCTGGGCTGGCAATTGGGAGAGTGGTTTCCCCTTATCAGGCCACTGACACGTCTGGCTGGTGCTGATGTAAATCTGTCTCACTAGGTGCTCCTTTGTTGCCACTGAAAGGCCGGCTGTGGGCGTTCCCAACCTCTCAACTTATTTCAGCAACATACCCATAGCAAAACCTCAGAACTTCCTAGGATGAAAGATCTGATGGGAAATGGTGAGGGGGAAAGGTGTTTAAAGTTTTGAACAAATGTTTGACCTGGTTGCTCAGGCGCGTTTCCTAAGCGTATGTAAAGATGTCTGTGGGACCACAATGTGAAAACTGGGGATGAGATGGTGTCTAGCCGATGCCTTTGAGCAGACCCAGGCATCTCTTGAGACTAAACCACAGGAACAGGATGTTTACAAGTATCTTCGGTGCTACTGTTAAACCTCATGATAAAAACACCAGTTCGTGTTAACCCTGATGTCAAACCCTAGGAAAAGGGTGCAATATGCATGATTTTGGGGGAAAGCTCTTGCACATGCTAGGAGTGGTAAATAAGAACTCACCCTGTGTTAAGAGGCCATATGGTAATGCTGCTTCTCAGCTAATACCTGCAAGCAGGCTTGAAGCTTGTCACAGCAGAGAAACCATAATAAACCCGGTCTGCTGTATGGAAGGGGAAACTGAGGTACATCACCTCATCGCAGGCAGTGGGGATACGCAGTTGGGTGTTTGCAAATATCTTTGTCATACCACCCCATCTGTTTAAACTGGCTGGTTTGTTCAATACCTCTTGTGTCTTCCAGCTCCTTCCTGAACCTTAACATGTGTTCAGTTACTGGTTTTTCTTTTTCTTCAGTGTTCCCTTCGCTATGGGTTCTCAAGCCAATCGTACCTTTGGGGATTTGGTACTGCAGGGTCTAGTGAGGTGAGGATGTAAGGCATTCTGCATATTGGCTGGCCCTGTGCGGAGAAGTCTCCCAACCCCAGGACTGTACAGATGCAAGAAATCCATCTCCACTCTTGGCCTTACCCTGTGTTCCTCACTCCCAGCCCTGAGACCTTCCTTGCCCCTTTTCCTTACAGGGTTGTGATCTGTGCTTTCTGGGTTACAAGTTTGTACTCTTTGGTCAGATGCACCTTTATGCAGCAGCTCTCCCTCAGCTGCTTTTTGTGTCTTACGAGCCCAGAGGAAAACCCACCCCGTCAGCCAGCCGGGTCCTTTGCATGCTCACAGACAACCACCACCTGGAAACTTCCTGGACTCAACTTCTTGGCTGTTACAGGCGTGGGAGCTGCATCTTGACTTAAAGAGACACAGTTACTTTCCACACGCATGTCAGGACTGGGGTCCAGGAAGACTGGGGCATGGATTGGGGTACCCTCCGTCACCCCCTTCTCTGTCCCCAAGAAGTTAGCTGTGTGACTGCTCCCCTCCGTAAAGTCAGTTACACAGTTCCCTCTCTGGACCTGAGTTACAGGCTGCGTGCACAGATGCTGAATCAGCCCCTCTGTCCTGGCCATCCTCTCCCAAATGACCAGTGAGGAGACAGTCGTGCTCCCACTATTCCTTCCCCATTTTCCTTTTCTGGGTCCAACACGCTATTAATGCTAAATGGATCTAGACTTTGTAAACGATACCTCCCAAGGCAGACTTTGTACCAGACACATCACAGTCATGTCACCATGTGGAATATGGAGGTCCAGGGTGCTGCTTTGAGGTACAGTGTGTCACTGAGGCTGGTTCTGCACTGTGCTGGGCAGGGCCTGAGCTGGCCCTTCAGACTGATGGGACTGGGGGATAACTTGGGCCTGAGTGGGGAGGATACTGGCCCCACAGCCCTCTCATGCCACCCCCTACAGAAGATAGAGGGTCCAGCCATGGGGAGCGAGGTCACCTCTGTACCTGCGGGCAGTGCTGCCCAGCCAGTGTAGTTTGGGGAGCACTTGGCTTAGAGGTGGCCTTGCAGAGAGTGTTTGGGTGGGGAGGAGCTGAGCACATGGCATTGGTGCAAAGACCCATCCCCAGGAGTCGGAGGTGCCTGATCCAGATGTGGAAGTGAGGTGGGAAAGGCCTGGCATGTCCCTGCGAGTCGGGAATAGTGGCCGTACTGGGGGACGGAAGTCTCCTGTTGAATGTGAGGGCCTTGGCCTGGGACTCCAGGGAACCAGGCTCTTTTGGGGTTTCTGGGGCAGGGATTCCGGCACCTTGGTCCCAGCTGCAGCCTGGGGGCCTAAGTGGTGGGGACCGGCAGCCAGTCGCTGTCCCAACGAAGGCAGTGGTTGGGGCAAGTTCTGGGGGTAGTGACCTGCCCCCCTCCCTCACAGTGGCCTGCGGGCTGGGGTTGGTTTCAGCTCTGTCCCAGGCCTGGCTGGGCCCTGGTCGGTGAATCACAGCCACGCAGCTGCTCTGTGCACCCCTGGATGCCCACAACAAGGGCCCATTGTCCCAGGTGCTGACAAGGGTCTACTACAGACCCTGCAGCTGAGCACAGGGGCCCCACGGGGAGGGTGTGTGCAGAGGGCAGTAGAACTGGGGAAAGGGGGTCATGAGGAGCAGGTTTGGGGGGCATGAGGAGTGGGTTTGAGGCCTCAGTGTGGCACTAGGGGGAGCTCTGCTGCAGGGAGTAGGCTGGGGCGCTCTATAAGTGATGCACCCCTCACAGTCAGTGCTGGCCCCAGCGCAGTGGCTAGGGGATGCTGTGCTGTATATTTGCCCCCTGTTGAAGCAGAGGTCAGGCCTGGGAAATCCCGGCGTCTTCTCACAAGAGCCCTTCCCTCCTCCCCCTCCAGCCACCTGGTCATTGCAGTGGTTCAGCCCTGTTTCAAAGCAGGAGTCCTGGCCCCCGTTGATGCTGCCGTCCCCCAGTGGACCCGCTTTCCCAGACCCCAGCGGGTACCTGTGCTGGTCTGGTGTCTCGTCCCACCCCCACTCCAACTGTTCTCTGCCCTCTCTTAAGAGCAAGTCCCTTTTTAAATAGCTCTGGTCCTTCTGCTCTCTGGCCCTGTCCCCTCCTGGCCTTACTGGGAACAGGCAGCCAGTGTTCGCCCAAGACCGTGGCTGGTTGTTTCCTTCCTGCTGGCTTTTCCTTAATGAACGAACCCCGTCACTTTCCCATGGGAGTGTCCCAAGGACCAGCGCCCACAGCAATGCTCGGTCACTGCAGCTCTGATGCCCCCCCTAGTGCTGGGGCCAGGGAGCTGGTGCCGTAGCTGTGCGGAAGGGCCCCCTTGGAGCTGATACACTAGGGCTGGCGGGGCAGGGCGGTATCGGTCTCCTGGGGGGAAGATGGGTGTGCGGATGGCATCCCAGGGGAGGGGCAAGCCTCCTGGATGGCACATTGACCCTGCAGTGAGTCTGTAGCCGGTGCTCAGCGAGGCAGCCTCAGGCCTTGGGGGAGCAGGGGAAGAGATGGGGCATCCCCCAGCTTGGTTAAGCTAATTCCTGCAGTGACTCCAGGGGGTTCACAGTGGGGATACCGGGGGCAGGGGGTCTCAGGCCTGCAGACAGCGACCTCACCTGCAGAGCAATCACCAGCGCTCCGCAGACAGCTCCCACAGTCCCTTGTACCAGCCATGCCCATGGAGCATGCGGGGGGTGCTGGAGCAGTGGCTCATGGCCTGTCTGCAGGGAGCCTGGGAACTGGGAAGGGACCCTGGGGTGGCCGGGGGAGAGGGGCCCAGCCCAGCTGCTGTTTCTGACTCATGGCCCTTTCCTCCTCTCTTTCCCAGTAGTATCAGCATCCTCGTTGGAGCTCCCAAGGCCAACACAAGCCAGCTCAACGTCACACAGGGCGGGGCTGTCTACTACTGTCCCTGGCACCAGGGCAACAGCAGCTGCACCCCGATTGAATTTGACCAGACAGGTAAAGGGCACAACTGCCTCGTGGGGGGGAGGGGCAAGTGGGTTCAATCCAGCACCCTGGGAGGGGGTGCGGGGGCGGGTGTCAGATGTGCTCCTCCCCTTGGGCAGCTTCCTGTCAAACAGAACTGATGGACATCAGCAGAGCTGGCTGTGGGGGAGCCCAGGGCTGGGCGAGCAGGGGCCTGCGGGTCGGGATTGAGGGGCACTGGCAGAGCTGGCTGTGGGGGAGCCCAGGGCTGGGCTAGCAGGGGGCTGTGGGTCGGGATTGAGGGGCACCGGCAGAGCTGGGGGCTGGAGCCCAGGGCTGGGATTGTGTGGGCTGTGGGTCAGGATTGAGATTCTCTATTGTCCATGAGATGAGCTATGTAGGGGTGACATCCTGAGGCCCTAGGAAGGGTCGGGGGATCACATGGGGCTGGGGCATGGAGAATTCCCCTCCCCCTTGGGGTTTGTGCCCTTCTGACTCCTGCAGAAGGTGCCCTGTTCCCTAGGTCAGCCCCCTCTGGGTTCGGCAGCTGCCACATGAGACTCCCCAGCCCGGGCCCGTCTCCTCCCTCCCCAGCCAGGCGGTTTCTGTTGTTATCCAGCCCAGCAGCGGTGCTGAGGAGGATCAGGACCCGTTGTGCTGGGTGCCCTGGCCTGCCTGCATGACGGGAGCTGAGAGCTGAGGGGTGGTTCTTGCTCTCGGTCACCTCCGTGTGGGGCCAGGAGCCGGCCTGCAAGCCGCTACTGCGGCCGGAGCTGACCCGGGACTGAGCCCCCGTAACCCTCACGGACCTGTCAGAGATTTTCTGTCTTGGAGAAACCGGAGCTGGGGGGAACCTGCTACCATCTCCCCGCCCCCTCTACTGGCTGGGCCCAGGGACATGGCAGTGCAGCCCCACCCTGGGGCCATGGCACCCGGCCCCCATCCCAGTGTCGTCTGCCACACTTTCCCATCCAGTCTCACAGCACCCCCTGCTGGAGAGGCTGGGCTGGAGTGGCTGGGATCTCCCCCCACAGCACCCCCTGCTGGAGGAGCCAGGAGCTCCTCCCACAGCCGGCGCTTCCAGTCTGGCTGTTCCCTGCTGTGCCCGCCCCCGGTGGGCCCCAAAGTGGATGTTTCTGCTGCTGTAGCTGTACAAGAATGTTCCCCTCTGGGGTCTCTGGCTCCCAGAGGGCACTGTGCCTGCCTCCACCCAGAGCACCCCGCCCCCCGGGGAGGGAACAGCCCTGTGCCCATGGAGCATTGCCCTGGTCCCCCTCCCCGCCCTGGAGGGAGCGTTGCCCTCCCGGCCAAGCTCCCAGCCTCCTGAGCACCTGCTACAGGTGGAGCTCAGGGTAGGGACCAGGTTGGGGTGGGGGGCAGGTCTGGGGAGGGCATCAGCCCCAGGCTATCCCAACCCCTAGCCAGGGGAGGCTGAGCAGCCTGGCAGTCAGTGCTCCTGGTCGGGGAGAGGCCAGATTAGCTGTAACCCCAGCCACAGCAGGTGGCTCCTCTGGCCAGCCCAGCCCCCCAGCACTGCCAGGATGGGGCTGTGCTGGGGGAGTGCTGGCCCCTCCCAGCTTGGATGGTTCCTGTGCCCCCCCCTTATCCCCCCATTATGTGTTTCCTTGCCACTTCCTGTCCCAAACGACCATCTGCTGTCACCGAGCCCCATTAAACTTCCCATGCGCCCCACTCCAGGGGCGACTGCGTTTCCATGGCAGCCAGCCTGTTCCCAGCGTCCTCCTTGTTTTAACGGGGTCATCCCAGCTCCGGCCCTGGCATTGCTCTGCGTGGGGACAGGTGGGGTGCAAACTCCTGGTCTTGCCATGGTGGTGCGCACATCCATCCCGTTGTCGCTCCCCCAGGGTCCCTCGGCAGTGATCAGTGCAAGGCCGGGGGACCGAGCCATGGGTTGGGGGTCAGGAGGGGAGCTCCCCCCCCCACCCCCCAGTCAGGGCCATCAGGGGGAGCTGGGATCCCAGGCTAAAGGCTGCGCAGGGGGGAGGGGACCCCATGTTCCCACCCACGTGGGCAGGGCTCTGGCTCTGGCTGTCTCTCACTCTGGCCAAGGACAAATATTTACCCAGCTTTGCAAAGGGAAGCGAGGGCTTTGCGGCTGGATTGCAGAGCTGGCGCCTGGCTGGGGTGACCTGGAGCGGGGTTTCCCCGGCATCCCTGCTGGTGCCCTGGAGGGGCCGGCTTGGATGGGGCTCTGGCTGGCTCGCAGCCAGGGGATTTTCCTTGGCTCGTTGGCCGGGCCGATTGCGTTACGGCCGGAGAGCAGGACGCAGCCCAACGGGAGCTGTCGCCCCGCGCGGCTCGCACCAAACGTTGCTCTCGCTCCAGCCAGACGTGGCCCATCTGGCTCCCGGCCCCGCTGGCAGATCCGTCTCCAGAGGATCTCCTGGCTCCGCTCCCCCTCACGGCACCCTGCCAGCAGCTGGAGCCACATGGCCTCTTGCTCTGGGGCCGTGATCCCTCACCCTGAGATAAGTGGTTAATGATGAACCACAGGTGGCTCTGGGCTCATCCACCCCCTAGAGCCAAGATGGGGCAGAGCCCAGGGGAAAAAAGCGGGGATGCAGGAGGCATGTGGGGTGGGAAAATCCCTCAAGGCAGTGTGGCAATGCGGGAGGCAGTGGGCGAAGGCAGGGGGTGCGCTGCAGGGGAGGAGGACTATGAGAGGGGGAACAACAGGGCAGATGTGGGGGAGGGGTCCTGGGGGTTACAGTATAGGAGGCGGGGGGCAGTGTGGGGCTGAGGGGGCAGAGTGAGTTGCAGCACAAGTTGTGGGGGGCAGTGGGTGGGGGTAGGGGTGCAGGGGAGGGGGCAGGGTGTTGCTGTGGGTGGGGGCAAAGGTGCAGTGCGGAGGGTTGCAGTGTGAGCTATAGGTGGGGGCTGGGGAACGGGGCAAGGAGTGTGGGCTATAGGTGGCAGGGTTTAAGTGTGTGGGTTGCAGCGTGGGCTGTGGGTGGGGGCAGGGGTGCAGTGCGGGGGTGGGGATTGCAGTGTGGGCTGTGGGTGGGGGCAGGGATGCAGTGGAGGTAGAGGAGGGTATATGTAGCGGGAGATGGGGGGGTTCTTGCTTTTCCAAGAATTCACCTCTGCTTGTGTTTTCCTGTAAATCAAAGCTGAGTGAAGGCCCCAGCATGTGGGACCCACTCAGGAGGAAGGAGGGGGCGGGGGGGCTGTGGGTGGCAGGTGGGACCCGCCTGGGGCTGGCAAGGGCTGGGTGGGAGAGGAGATACTGTCCCTTCCTGGGACACTTTGGCCAAATGCCCTCTTTCAAGACAGCTTGGAGCACGCTGCCCCTTCCCCTGTGGTGTTTGCAAGGGGGCTTCCCCATGCCAGCGGCTCCCTCCCTGGTGACAGGGCCTCAGGGCCGTGCTGTCCCACACAGGGTTTGTGCCGGTGAGCTGGCTGGCGTGTTGGGTCAGCACTGCCCCAGCTCAGCCATGTATCCTAGGCCTCCCGCGGAGGCGGCAGCTGGTGCCAGTCGTGGAGCCCAGCAGTGACCACGCTTCTCCCCACAGGGTCCCGCCAACACGACTTCAGCGGGAATGGCACCGATGGGCTGACGCAGGTGGAGTTCAAATCCCTGCAATGGTTCGGAGCGACAGTGCGGTCCCACGGCAGCTCCATCCTGGTGAGAACTGAGAACGGCACCGGGGGACCCCGGCTGGTAGGGCCTGCCATGTGGCGGGCTGGGGCTCATTCGCTGCCTGGCTATGGGGCAGGGGGTTCCCGCCTGGCCCCACGCTGTGCTGGAGTAGCTAGTGTGTGGGTGGACGCCATCAGGTACCGGGACCTCCTCAGTCGCTCGGTCTCCCCTGTCCTCAACTGCTGCTCACCCAGCTGCTCTATCCCTGCCCAGGCCTGCGCCCCCCTGTACAGCTGGCGCACCCTCAAGGATGAATCTGGCCGAGACCCTGTTGGTACCTGCTACCTGTCTGTCAGCAACTTCACCAAGTTCGTGGAGTATTCACCCTGCCGCTCAGGTACCGGCTCAGGGAAGGGGGGGAAAGTGCTCCCTCCTGGGGCTGGGCTGGGGGCAGTGGGCGGGAGACCCCCAAACTCCTTGGCTCCCCCAGCAGCAGATAATCCCTGCTTTAAGGGGTAATCAGGAAATCTTTCCATCCCAGGCCTCCCTCACAGCCCCAGCGCTGGGCTGGGCACATGTTCCCAGGGGATGGCGTCAGAGCGGGTGGGGACAGCGTTACCTGGGAAAGCAGGAAGAAGAGCCTAGTGGCTGGAGCAGGGGGCTGGGAGCCCAGAATCCCACCCCAGGGTGCTGGTGTCCAGGGTCAGAGCCTCCTGCCCCCCGTCCCACCTCTCGCCCCTCATGGGTGTTTCTCTCTGCAGATCTGGACTCGGCGGAAGGGCAGGGTTACTGCCAGGGTGGCTTTAGCGCTGAGTTCACCAAGGTGAGAGGCCCTGATGCCATGCAGCTGCGCCCCTGAGCTCTAGTAGCAGCAGAGCGCCCCCTGCCTGCTGCCCCCAGCATGTGTATGGGGGATTGCTGAGTTCCTCACCGGGGCCTCCCGCAGTCAGACCCCCCTGAGTGGGGCTAGGGGGCTAGGTCCCGGGCTGCAGGCTCTGGTACCTCCTGCCCCACAGAGCTGCGTCTCAAGCCCAGACCCACAAACAGGAACCTCCTACGGGAGCACTCCCCTAGCTGGTAGCAGTTGCAGGTCCCTTATCCTCTCTGTGGGCGCCCCCCTAGAGGGAGCATGTTCTTATGTGCAACCCCTTGCGTGTTGGGAGCTGCTGGATGCTGGGAGTGGGGCCTTGTGAGGAGCCCCCCAGTACCTCCGGCCCACCCCAGTCACATCCCCCGTGCCCCACAAACAGGTCATTGCCCTGTTGGGCCAGCTGGGTGGGTCTCTGCCTGCTCTCACCCCTCCCCCCCCCCACTGGGTGCTAGGGCAGGTCTCTGGCGGTGTCACTTATGCCCGAGGGGACACAGAGAGGAGCAGCCCTTCCTGTGTCTCCCTGACCCCTTCGGGGGCAGCATGGGGCCCCCCTCTGCCCGTTGCAGCTGGGCCTGCAGAGACCAGCCCTGCCCCACTCTGCTATCCCCCTGTGAGATCGCTCCCTCCCCAGCTCTGGGGTGGGGGGACACTGAACCTGCTCAGTCAGCTGCCTCCCTTGTGGCCAAGGGGGGAGCAGTAGGGGTTTGGTGGGGGAGGGGTGAACCCAGTGACACCGCTGGGGATAGTCTCTTCCCTCCCCCCGACTCCCAGGCAGGATCTCACCTTGTGGCTCTGACCGGGCTCTTTGCTCTGCAGACGGGGCGAGTGCTTCTGGGAGGCCCTGGAAGCTATTTCTGGCAAGGTGAGTGCCCCCACCCCCTGCTACTGGCCTCCCCCACCGTCTTTCTCCTCCTCTCTCCCCCTGCTACTGGCCTCCCACACCGTCTTTCCCCTCTCCCACCCCCTGCTACTGGCCTCCCCATCTTCTCCCTGTTTGACCCCCTCCCTGGGGTACCACTTCTCCCCCTGTTCCTCCCCGCTGGACTCTCAGCTGCCCGCCCCATCTCCCCCCAGGCCAGGTGATCTCAGCCACGCAGGAGCAGATCGAGGAGGCCTATTACCCCGAGTATTTAATCCTGGGCACCCAGGGGCAGCTGCAGACACGCCAGGCTGCCCCCATCTATGACGACAGCTATCTGGGTGAGTGCCCCGGCTGGTGGGGGAAGGGGATAGCTGAATGTAGAGGGCCCCCAGTCTTTGGCTGGTTACCCCATCTAGGTGCCTGTGGGAAGTGAGGTGGGGGTCTTGGCCCAGCTCCCAACAGACTGAGGCTCCTCACTGCAGGTTCATGGGCAGTCTCGGCCGGGAAAGACAGGGGGAATTGGGCCTTGCCCAGGGCAGTCCCTACTCCCCAGGCCTGGGTATAGGCACTGCACCTGGCCATCCTGCCAGCTTTAGGGGCTGAAACTTAAGTGCTGCTCCCCAGTGCCAAACAGACAGAAGTTCCCAAAGCCGGTCTTGCTCGCCGAGTGCTGCCCTGCGAGGGGTGCAAGGCAACACCTGCCGTGAGCTGTGGGAGATGGGGCTGGGGGTGCTCCTCGGGGGAGGGGGGCTGGGGGTGCTCCTGTTTATAGCTGGGGAAATGGAAGCTGTACTACTCTCAAGGACATGCAACAAAGTCAGGAATAGAACCCAGGAGTCCTGCTTCCCAGCACCTCCCACAGCTCCAACCACTAGATCCTACTCCCTGCCCAGAACTGGCAATAGAACCCAGGAGTCCTGACTCCCAGCCCTACCCTGGTCCAACCACTAGACACCACTCCTCTCCCAGAGCTGAGGATAGAACCCAGGAGTCCTGACTCCCAGCCCCGCCCCGATTCAACCACTCGATACCAGTCCCTGCCTCCCAGGCCCCGCGCTCCAGCCATAGACCCTGCTGCTCCCTGGCGTGTTACAGACAGTAACTAAGGGAACAGCTCCAGGGAGCTCCTCCAGCGCAGACTCAGCCTATGGCTTGGCACAGATGGATGAGTGAGGCATGGAGAGGGACTGAAGCTTGCCAAAGTCATGGAGCCCCCGATCCCGTCACCCAGTGCCCTGTCCCAGGAACTAACCCCTCTCCGGGGCAGAGCAAAGCCGGTGAGGAGTGTTTCTGTGTGGTTCCCTTTTAATCCATCAGCCTGTCACTGAGAAGCCAGCTCCTCCTGCCCAGTGTTGATATAGGGTCTAACCAAAACAATGGGGACAGAAGGGCCAGGGGCTGAGTGGTGCTGGAGCCTAACCCCTCTGCTCCTCTCCCCATGCAGGGTATTCTGTGGCCGTCGGTGAGTTCAGCGGGGATTCTACCGAAGGTACTGCCATGCTGGGCTCTCTGGAGTCGGTGGGGAAGGGAGAGTAATTGCTGAAGCCCGCTCCACAAGTTCTGCCCCCTTTCTAACACCCCATAGATGTGGCAGGGTCAGTCCCGGGGCAGAACAAGTGCTGGTTGGAGCCCAGGTGCTCTGAGGAAGCAGTTGCTATGGAGGAGGCCAAGCTGATGCTCCTGGGTCTGGCCAGCCGGGCCAGGAAGCTGCACAGGGCAGGCTGGCTCCCACCATGGGGCCTGGCTGGGCTCAGCGTAAATAGCAGAAATGAGCATACCATGCCACCCTGGGCAGGGTTCAAACCCAGCATCTCCAGCACCCTGCCCTCAGAGCAACTGGGTAGGCCATTACCCTGGTGGGCCAGCTGCTGTGACATGCTCGCCCTGTGTTACTTGAGAAATAGCCGGATAGCTGAGTTTGGGGTGGGTTGGGGTCCAGGGCTCTGGTTCGATCTGCCAGTCCTCCTGCACTGAGACAGTGAGTGAGCTATCAGTGGGTGAAGGGTGGGCTAGGGCTTCAGCCCCCTGGAGTTTGGGCTCTAGGATTCTCTCCCCCCGCCCTACCCCCCAAATTGTGGGTGAACTACTTTACCCTGGGATGTGGCATTGGACAGCCCAGGGTCACATCTTCCTGGGGAGCTGGCCTGGCTTTGTCTGTGTTGTCCATCCCACCCCAGCATCGCACAGGCTGAGCTGCCCACAAGGACCCACCTGGAGCTAACGGACCCATATCTCTTTGCTCCTTTGCAGACTTTGTGGCTGGCGTTCCCAAGGGAAACTTGACCTACGGCTACGTAAGATCCTGAGCTGGGGCAGTAGGGTGGGGGTTCTTCCCCTGGGGGCCAAGGGAGCCCCCCTGTCTCTCCACCTGGCTGCACCCAAATGCTCTGGGTCTGTCCTTTTCCAACTACATCTCTGCTAGACTGGGCCCTCCTTCCATCTGCCCTGGGAGCCCCTTGCACCAGGCTGGCTCGGGCTGTTGCTCCCAGTGCTGCTACGCCCCCCAGAAGTGGATGGTTTGGCCCCTTTCTCCTACTCTTGCTCTCACTAGCTTGACTTTGCCCCCGCATAGGGCTCTTGCACCCCAGGGGTGTCAGCAGGGTGGGGAGGCACGGTGCTCATGTCATCAGCTGTTGCTTGCAGGATAGCTGTGCGGGGCAGGGCAGGGCCTTGCCTGCCAGCTCCGGTACAAGCTCCCCTACCCCCAAGAATGGACCTTGGTAAGCCCCACAATCCTGCTGATTTGGTTGTTTCCATAGTAACTAACACACTTCCCCGGGCAGGGCTGAGGGCACATCTACAGTGCGATTAAACATCCACAGCCGGCCAGGCTGGCTGACTCAGACTAAGGGGCTCTTTAATTGTGGGGTAGATGCTGAGCCGTCCCACCTCACAGGGTCCTAGAGCCTGGGTGCCAGCCCAATTGCTGATGTCTGCCCCACAGTTAAACAGCCCCATAGCCTGAGCCCTGCAAGCTGGGGTCAGCTGGCAAGGCAGCAGTGGGTGCAGCCTAGACAGTCTGTGACTGACCAAAGCCTGAGCCAAGGCCGAGTGAGGAAACAGAGGGTGGAGACGGCGCGGAGGAAGGAGGGTGGAAACAGAGGGTGGAGAAGGCCCAGCCCACCCAGGGCTTTTGTGGTCACCCCCAACGCATGTGACCCCATCACCCACTCTGTCGACATCCCAGGCCCTTCCTGTGACCTGCTCAGGAATCCTGCTATGCGGCATCATCAGAGCCGCTGCCCGGGGGCTGGCTGCAGGGTGACTGCCCAAGAACTCCCGAGTCGTGCCAAGGCCCCTCCCCAAACTCCCACAGCTTAAAGATGACAGGGGAGGTTTTAGAAGAGAGATGGGACTTAGCACCCTTGGTTCTGCTCTCAGATCTGGCAGGAGTGGGGCCAGAGGTTGGAGTGGGAGCAGGGAGGAGCTAGGTCTCAGGACCCCTGGATTCTGCTCTCTGCTCTTGGGGGAGTGGGGTCTAGTGGTTAGAGCGCGGGGTGGGGGGTATGCTAGGACTCAGGACCCCTGGATTCTGCTCTCTCCTTTGGCGGGAGTGGGGTCTACAGGTTAGAGTGGGGGCAGGGAGGTGCTAGGACTCAGGACCCCAGGATTCTGCTCTCTCCTTTGGTGGGAGTGGGGTCTACAGGTTAGAGTGGGGGCGGAGAGGTGCTAGGACTCAGGACCCCAGGATTCTGCTCTCTGCTTTGGCAGGAGTGGGGTCTAGTGGTTAGAGCGGGGGTGGGGATGAGGGCTCATGACTCCTCTCTGGTGTGGTTTCCCATCTTTTATGTGGGGAGGGCGCTTAGCTGCTGTGGGCATCACCAGTAGAGCCCCTCAGAGGTGAGGCGCCAGAGAAGTGGGAATTGGATTTTCTACCTGACAAAGTTGCAAACACCAGGTGAGATCCTCGGCCTGCGCTCTGGGTCAGCAGAGCAGTGGAGTGAGCAGGGGCTGCCGGGGCCAGAACCGTCCAGAGGAGGAGAATAGAAACCACCTGGGGGCTGGGATGGGAGTGAGTCCCGGTCAGAGTGGTTCTGCCCTGCGGGCTTGGGATGGGGACTTGGCGACCGAGCTGTGACCTGGGTCTTCTCTTGCCAGGTCACTGTCCTGAATGGATCGGACATGAAGTCCCTGTATAACTTCTCTGGAGAGCAGGTGAGCAGGATGCGCTGGCCACATGAGCCAGGCCCATGTGCATGGCAGGGGCTCTTCTGTCGTCTGAGCAGGGCTTTGGAATGAGGCCACCCCGAGGGATCGAACGAGCCCCATGGGCAATGGGTGGCAGGCAATGCATGCTAGGCCCCTTGCTGGGTAGGAGCTGCCAGCTCTTCCCAGGGAGAGGGGCATGGCCCTTACCCAGATCATGTGTTACTGACCCAGAGGGCCCCTGGGTAGCACCATGGGGGTGCATGGGGCTAGAAGTGCTTCCCTTGTTGGAAATAACCCTGTCTGTGAGGGGAGAAGGGTGAATTATCTCCTGCAGCATGGGAAAAAGCCCCCTTCCCAGCATTTGTGCCAGGGCACGAGAAACAGCAGACATACCACCCAAGCCAGTGGGCAAGGGGCCTGTCACTGTTTTGGCGCGTGGGTGGCATGTTTATAGAAAGATCGTCTCTTGAGCGCTCTCCCCAGGCTGGTGGCCCCATGGCCCCAACAGCAGCAGCTGCCTCTGTAGAGGGGTGACTTTGGCTGCATCCCTGGCTGCAAAGGGGCAGAGCCCAGGGCAGTGCCACTGTCCAGAGCGGCTGGGCCCTGTCCCTTCGCATGGCATTTAGCAGCTGGGGATGAGATGGGGAGCTGGTGCCGTGTGGTGTTGGTTCCTCACAGGCTCAGGGTATCTGCACCAGCACGGGGGGCGGTGACGTCTAGAAAGGGGAGCTTTGAAAATCCCTTTGTCATCCTGGCAGCATCCCTGTCTCAGGCCAGGGATTGGATGCACCAGCCCCCTGCTCACCACGGGGAGTCGGCCCGGAGCCCCTGCTTCACCCCACCTGCTGCAGAGCCGGGACCAGCCCATGGCTTGGCCGAACTGGAGGGAGCCCCTGGCCCTCAGCCTTTCATGTGGGCCCCGCCCTGGGAGGTTTCCTCACTTGTGGCAGGATGGGGGAGTGGTGGGGGCAGAATCCATGGGGAATCTGCAGCATAATTGATGAACCCAGCTCTCCCTTTCTCCTGCCCTAGATGGCGGCCTACTTTGGCTACGCGGTGGCTGCTGCTGACGTGAACAGCGATGGGTGAGGAGGGGCCCTGCTAGCCGGGGTCTGTCTGTGCCATTACTGGGGGTTGACGGATTAAGGGGGGCAGTTGGGTCAAGCAGAAAAGGGCTGGGCTGTGTTGTGGGGGAAGGGGGTTCGGCATCGGAGGCATAGCAGTGTGTGGGGGAGGGGAAGCACATGGGGGCCTGTGTAGTGCAGGGGGGGGGGCAGGGCTTGGAGCCCACTGACCCAGTAGCATCCCCTGTTGTAGGGGATGGGACAGAGCAGCATCCCTGACCCCAGTTCCCCCCGCTCCCAAGTGCTGGGTCACACACTGGGAGAACCCCCTCTACCCCCAAAACCCTTTTGCTTCATTGCAAGATATGGCCTGCTGAGAGACATCCTCACCCTGCCCCCACCATGGCCTTGGTTGCGTGGAGCAGGAGCAGGGTCGAGTGTGGGAGTGGGGTAGGCGGGAGCAGGGCCTGGAGTGGTGTGTGGGAGGGGGCGGGGTCCGGGGGGCTGCATGGGAGCAGGGGCCAGGGGGTGTGTGGGTGGGAGCGGAGCCAGGGGGGGTGTGTGCGGGAGCAGGGGCCAGGGGTGTGTGGGCAGGAGCGGGCTCCAGGGAGGGCGGAAGTGGGGGCCGGGGGGTGGGGGTGGGAGTGGGAGTGGGAGTGGCAGCTCCTCTCCCCTCAGCCCTTGGCTCCTGGCGCCTCCTGCAGCAGGCCCAGATCTGATTTGAACACACACCCCCTGCTCGTGCCCACCCTCCCACACGCACCCAACTCATCCCCCTGCTCGTGCCCACCCTCCCACACGCACCCAACTCATCCCCCTGCTCGTGCCCACCCTCCCACACGCACACAACTCATCCCCCTGCTCGTGCCCACCCTCCCACACGCACCCAACTCATCCCCCTGCTCGTGCCCTCCCTCCCACACGCACACAACTCATCCCCCTGCCCGTGCCCACCCTCCCACACGCACACAACTCATCCCCCTGCTCGTGCCCACCCTCCCACACGCACACAACTCATCCCCCTGCTCGTGCCCGCCCTCCCTCCCACACGCACACAACTCATCCCCTTGCTCGTGCCCACCCTCCCACACGCACCCAACTCATCCCCCGGTGTGCGCATGCACACACCCCACCCCCACCCTCCCGTGCACACACTCACAGGGCTACAGGAACCCCAGAGGGTCCTAGCCTCTGGGTCTCACTAGGTGAAGGGGATGGAGCCCGGTGGCAGTGCTGGAGCCAGGGGGTCGGCTTCTCCCCAGCCCCATGGGGGAGCGGGTTGCTCAGCCAGGGCTGCGTGGCCAAGGCTGCCAGCAGGGACCTGGTTAGCACCGCATGGGACAGGGGTTGGGGATGCGGACATCTCCCCACTGGGCTGCACCCTGGGTTCACCCCTGGGCCTCCCGGCAATGACTGGGTGTGTCTGCACTGCAGTCAGATACCTGCCCTGCCGCTGTCTCCAGCGAAGGGCCTGTTTCACTAGCTCTGGGACCCTCCCACTGCACAGGGCCCCAGCCCGGGCCCCAGGGTCTAACCCGCAATGAAACAGCCCCTTAGCCTGAGCCAGCTGGCACAGGCCCGCCACGAGTGTGTAATTGCTGTGTAGACGTACCCTGTGGGGCCAGGTGACCCTGCTCTGTGCCCCAGCCCCATAAAGGGACTTGGCTCCCAAGGCTGGAGGTGTTTCATCTGCCACGGGCAGGTGCGGGTGGCCCCAATCCAGCTGCCTTCTCAAGGTTCAGGCCGGGCGACTGCGTGGTACCTCCAGCAGGGGCTGGGATGGCAAAGAGGATGTCTGAGCTCCCACCACAACACAGCTGTACCCACACATGCCAGCATGAGACACACGTGCAGCTGTTGCCATGCAGCTGCCCTCTCTGTCCTCTCCTGCAGGTGTTAACTGGCTGTGGAAGAGCTTTAAAAACTCACATGAAGTGGCTGTCCTTAGGTTTCAGAGTTAACACGACACAAATGGTTTTTTTAAAAAAAAGCTTTCTTCCCAGCTGTCAGGGCGAGACGCTTTATAGCAAATGGCTGTTCGGGTTCTGCAGCATGTTGGTGGCAAGCCCCAGGACCCCAAGTGGGCACTGGGAAATCAGGACTCCAGGGTTCTGGTCTCAGCTCTGGGAGGGAGTGGGGTACAGTGGTTTGGAGCAGGGGTCTCGTGGAGTGTCAGGACTCCTGGGTTCTAGTCAGGGCCCCGTCACGCCTGACACGTGGTGAGTTGTGGCGGGGGCGGTTCTAGGTGGCTTGTGGGCCCGGAGTGGAGAGGAGGCACTGTGGGGGAGGGATTGTTGGAGAGTGAGTGCACCCCACAGTGGCGGCTCCTCTCCCATGGGGCTGGGCTTGGCTCCCTGCTCCAGCATGCGGGGTTGCAGCATCATTTGGGTCTGGCCTGGCCACCCCTCCAGCAGGTTGCGAGGCCCAGAGGGGGAGCCAGGCTCAGCCTTTTGGGCAGGAGCCCCCGTCGTGGGGTGAATGTGAGGCGGGCTCACTCTCCAAACACCCACGCACACCCCAGGCTCCTCTCTGCCCAGGGCCAGGAACAGGGCTGCGGATGACCTGGCTGCTGGAGCAGCACCACCAAGCAACAGTGTGCTGTGAATGTCACCCCCTGCTGAACATGTGGTGGAAGGACGAGTTACCCACCGGCTCGGCAGCCCGCAGTGCCCCTCTGGGCCTGTCGGCTGCTCTAGCATGAGCACAGATTCGAAGCCCCTGCTCTCTCTTTCTCTCTCCCCTCCACCCCGAAGCCTGGACGACCTGCTGGTGAGTGCCCCGCTGTTCATGGAGAAGACCGAGGACGGGCGGGTGCAGGAGGTGGGCAGAGTCTACATCTACCTGCAGCAGCCCCGCGGCATGGAGCCCAATGCCTCCATGGTGCTGACCGGGCACCAGGAGTTCGGCCGCTTTGGGAGCACCGTCGTCCCACTAGGAGACCTGGATCAGGATGGCTATAATGGTTAGCGCACATGCGCGCGTGTGATTGTCGCCCCCTGCTGGCTGCAGCTGACACGGGATTTAAGCTAGGCGTGTGCGCCGGTGTAGTTTGACCACTCCCTGCCGCGTGTCAGGGGCCTGGTGCTGGAGCCCCCTGCCGGGTGGAATTACCAACTGTGGAGACCCAGCGGCCCTCACCTACCTCGGAGGGCAGGAGTGTGAGATAGCAACCAGGGGAAGGGTCAGTCCCTGCAGCCCTCGCTGCCTGGCATTGAAAGGGATGGCTCCATGGATGAGCTTGGCTCCTGGTGGCTGGCCGTCTTTCCCAGCCGTAACCCCTAGGTCCGTTTCCCTGCTGCCTGTGCTGGGGGCGACGGATGGGAGCGGGATCTGGCTCTTTCAGGGTGCTTCACACTCCTCTGTTGACCTTGGTGTTTGTCTCCCCTCCAGACATTGGCATCGGGGCGCCGTTCGGCGGGGATGCGCAGCAGGGCGTGGTGTACGTTTACAATGGACAGGCAGGTGGGGTGAACACCCAGCCTTCCCAGGTCCTGAAGGGGCACTGGCTGCCCAGCCGCTCGCCTGACTTCTTTGGGTTTGCCCTCCGCGGAGCCAAGGACCTGGACGGAAACGGCTACCCAGGTGAGGGCTGGCGCAGGGGAGACTTGGCTCTGCCCCCTGTGACTGCCTGGTCCTCTAAGTCCCCATGGGGGGTGGGGTGTCAGCCACCTGGTCCCCGGGAGAAGCAGCCAGCATCATGACTCTGAGCACAGATCGTGCCCGGTGCCTGAACTGGCTATTTGGAGGCTGCACTGCTCTCTGTCTCCAAGAGGAGGCGCTGTTCCTGGCAGGCTCCATTCCCTTGCCTGCCTGTCCGTGTCTCCATCCCTGGTTGGCTCTGGGCTCCCCGTTCTTGCCTCCTGCACCCTCCCCTCCCCCAGTTCTAGCAATGTGCATCTGGGACAAGTGCTGCTTCTAGCGCCTCCTGCTGGGATGCGGTGCCCGGCTCTCCCCAGGGGGAGACTACACTTGACAGCTGCTGGGCTAGCGCAGCCTGGGTGGGTCCCTGGGCCAGGCTGAGGTGCTGCGGATAGCTTAGTGCCAGTTGGAACGGTGCTGAGTGCCATGGGATAACCTGCCACTCGCCTGCCCACCTTCCTCCCATCCCCCTGGCAGCGAGCTCCCTGCTCGCTCCCCTCTGGCGCAGACCCTGCCCTGTCCCCCTGGTAGCGAGCTCCCTGCTATCTCCCCTCTGGTGCACATCTACCGTCCCCCTGGCGATGAGCTCCCTGCTATCTCCCCTCTGGCGCAGACCCTGCCCTGTCCCCCTGGCAGTGAGCTCCCTGCTCGCTCCCCAGCACAGGGGACGCACAGCACTGATGGAGCCCTGCCCGTATGCTGCTTCCCCTTCTCTATGGGCTCTGGCTGCTAGGGATGCTGTCCTGCCGCGGGATCCAGCTGATCTGTGTGTGTGTGTTTGCTCTGCAGACCTGATTGTGGGTGCATTCGGAGTGGACACGGCCGTGGTGTACCGGTAGGTGCTGTTCCTCTCTTGGGCTCTTTTCTGGGGATTTGGGGGCTGGTTCCAGGAGCCCACACTGTGTGGGTCAGCAACGCCAGGCCTGACCTCAGCCATGGGCTGTGGGAATCTAAAGACAACGCTGCCCCAGCCCACCATGGTGTTTCTGCACACCGGGTCCTTGTGCCCACCTGACCGTCTGCCCCCGCCCTATGCTGGCTGCCCCCAGCTGGAGGTTACCCAAGCGGTGGTCCTCTCCAGCCAGCTTGGAACTCGTTTCCTAGGGTGTTGGCAACACTGGGGGATGGCATGGGAGCCAGCCTGAGCCATGGGCATCCCCGGCTCCTGGCTGGCATCGCTTTGGGCATGGCGGGGAGGGGGAAGCAGCTGCTCCGGGGATTCCTGGCCCAACTGGCTCAATCTGGAGTCAGATCCTCTCTGGTGTGAATGGCCCAGCCCTAGAGAAGCATGGGGCTGATTGACACCAGCCGGGGAGCCAGCCCCTCTGCAGGCAGAAGAGACAGCGTCCGAGCTGTCTGGCCCCATTTCCCATCACCCCTTCAGGGTCAGCCCAGTCCCAACCCTCCTTTAGTCCCTTCAGGCTGTGAATATAGCATGTGACCATCTTCCCTGTCATTCCTGGCCCCCCCGCCCCCCCACACAGAGGCCGCCCCATCGTCTACGCCAGCGCCTCCCTCAACATCTTCCCCGCCATGTTCAACCCTGAAGAGCGATCCTGCACGCTGGAGGGCACCAACGCCCACGTGGCCTGGTAGGTAACACACCCCCTTCGAGATGTGCCCTGCCGGCAGGGGGTGGAGAGCACCGGGCGGGGCTCAGGGCCTCCCTCCAGACAGGCGCTGCTTCCATCGACTTCTTCTGACGCAGCTTGCCTGTCTGAGAGTCTCGGCTGAGGTGACTGGCTGTTGGGTTCTCCTTCGCTTCTTGCCCTGCACTGCCGCATCTATGGTTAAACAGCTGTTGCATCCCACCCCAGAGGTGGCTGCACTGCAGTGTGGGGTGGTGGGGAGCGCACCCTGTGCATAGTGTGCATGAGGACCCGGCAAGGCAGACGGCCCCAGCCCCGTCAGCGGGACTAAGCGGGTGTCGGGCAAATAGCGTCTCCTTTTAGCTTTTGTTATGAACTCCAGTGCTGGGGCTGGCCTCACTGAAACACTGCCAATGAACTCCGCTCTGGGGGGGACCCCCCCAACAGCCCCCTGGGTGTAACCTCGCGTAGCTGCATATGGCATGTGTGAATTGCCCCCTGCGGCTCGTTGGTCTCACTCCAGGGAGGCGTGGGGGGTTAATGTCCCCCGGGCCTGCTGGGGGTTTGTTTATCGCAAGCTATTTATCCGTTGCTCAGCAACAGGGGCTGCTGGCAGCCTGCCCTCCCCTTCCATGAATGAGCGATCGTGAGGCACTTGCAGCCAGCTGAAGGGAGCTGGGGCGCTGGCTGTCCGGCCTGGACCGTGGGGCTGCGGGCGGGGCAGCTAGGGGGAGGCAGCTTCAGCCCTGGAGTGGGGGCAGATGGGGGATCAGCATTAGAAGGGGGAAGAGGGTGGGGAGGGGTATCGGCAGTGGTGGTGGGAAGGATTGGCAGGATCAGCATTACAGGGGGTAGGGCGGCAGGAATGCCTCAAGGGGCCAGTCACGTGCTGCTCCTGATGCCCCTATGTGCTGTAGCAGCCCTCCGCACCCTTCACCCTGGGAAGGATTTGACCTGAAGAATCCCCTCGCTCTGATTATGATCTTGCTCCCACCTCCAGTGGTTTGTTTGCCTTCGGGGTTAACGATTAACCAGGGGTTCCTGGTAGCCAGCTCACAGCTGCACCAAGGACAGGGTGCGAGATAGGGATAGGTCCCTAACTCCAGAATTGGGGGGGGCAGCAATCTAAGGGCTATTTGAAAGTGGGGAGGCGGCAGCCCTGGAGCTGTCACTGGCTCTGGGGTAACTGAAGATCCTGGGATCTGGGTTCAGGGCTCCAGGGCTCTCCCCCTTGGGTCTAGCTGTCGCCCAGCCTTGGGGCAGCCCAGGTCTGGTAGGAGACCAGGGGCCCCGTGCCCATTCCCAGCCCTGCCAGTGACTCTGGCCGGATCAGTTCCCTGCTCTGTGCCTCAGTTTCCCTGTTGCACCATGAGGAGGGCGTCTCTCTCCATCCACCTTCCCAGAGGAGTGGGTAACTAAGGGGAGGGCAGAGCCCGGGACTTGGGGTCAGCACTCCTACGTCCTGCTCCTGGCTCTGCCACTGACCATCTGCACCGACATGGGTTGCCGGGTCTGTGCAGGGCTCCCGAGCCATTGTCCCTTCGGTGGGTAAGTTCTGCCCCTGTGCTGTTTCTGGCAGGGCCCTGGCAGGCTCTGCCGGGTGTTGTCCTGCCCCAGGCTCATTGCATGTCTCTCTCTCTCTCTCTCCCCCCTCGGCAGCATAAACCTGAGCTTCTGCCTCAACGCCTCGGGGAAGCACGTGCCCGACTCCATCGGTGAGTAATGAGCTTGGGCGCCGGTCAGAGCAGCCAGGAGCCCAGTGCTGCCCCAGATCTTCCCAGAATCCCCTGGTCTGGGGAGTCTCACTGTCCTGGGGCACTGGGAAACCAGGCAGCCAGTGGGGGCGTGTCCATTTTAGTGCGGGGTAGGTGAGTGAAGCAAGGTCAGGGCTTGTGTGGGAACAAAGGGGGCAGCGCATACTGGTGTTGGTGAGTCAGTAGGGGGTGCTTGTCCCCCTAAGGAAAGGTGGTTTCATGGTTGAGGCACTGATCTGGGAGCCAGGACTCCTGGGTCCTACACTCAGTTGTGCTGCTCCCTTGGGGCAAGTCATTTACCCACTTTCCCTCAGTTTGTCGCTGTTCATGAAGTGCTGGTAACTCGCTCTCAGTCATTTATTACCTGATTGATTTTTGAACCAGTATCCCAGCACGGTGATGGGGCACTGTGCTGCAGGGAGTGGGGTGAGGGCTCAGCAGAGGGCACTCTCCCCACGCAGTCGATGCTGACTCCAGCACTTGGGGACACTGCTGTGTTTCAGATGAGATGTAACACTGAGGTCCTGGCTATTCGTGGGTATTAAAGATGCTCTGATCACTGTTCCCTCTAAGCTGTGCGTTTGTGTGTGCGCACACACAGATCCTAAACCCCGCGCACACAAAAATTTGCACAGAAGAAATTTTTTGCACACACAGCCTGTCAAAAATTAGAGGGAACATTAACATTTTCCCGCGGTTGGGGTGACCTGTTTGGTGACCTGTGTCCTCATTCAGTTCAGACTTGGGTAATTTCTTTCTGCCTCTAAATTCCCCTTAATTCCAGTGGGACACAGGAATTTATCTTTACTTCCTAAACTGCTTTGTAAGGTTGCTGTGTGCTGTTAAACAGCTGCTGAGCCCCACCCCAGAGGTGGCTGCATGTCAGTGGTAGATGAAGGGCTCCCTTCTGAGGCCAGCTGGTGCCTTTGTGAAGAGAGGTGGGGAGTTAGTGGGGTGCTGCTGAGTCCCAGAGCTGTGACTGCAGAACTGCCCTGGCCCCTGAGCTTTCCAGTCACCCTGGCCTCTCCTTCCCTCGACAGGGTTCACTGTGGAGCTGCACCTGGACCACCTGAAGCAGAAGGGGGCCATCAAGCGGGCGCTGTTCCTGCACTCCCGCCAGCCTCACCTGGCGCAGACCATCAAGGTGCACAATGGCGCCCTGGAGGAGTGCAGGGAGATGAAAATCTACCTCCGAGTAAGTGGGGTCAGCCCAGCCGAGAGCCACAGCCCTGCACTGGGGTAACCCACCTGATTCCCCAGGGGGCTCAGAGCCAGCCCTCGCCTGTGAGGAGGGTATAGGAGGCTCATTGGGGAGGCTGCCAGACCTGTGGTTCTCTCTAGCTCCCCAGCGCACGTTGCCCAGTGCACCTGAGCTCTCACGGCCACGGAAGGTCTGCGCTGGCCAGGCTGCCATGGCAGTGGAGTGCCCCGGGAGTCCTGGCCTGCGCCAGCCCTGGGCCAGAGCCGGGTCTGTGCTGCCCTGAGCACTCCTCTCTCCCCAGAACGAGTCGGAGTTCCGCGACAAGCTGTCCTCCATCCACGTGGCACTGAGCTTCGTCCTGGACCCACAGGCCCCGGCAGACGCCCACGGGCTGCAGCCCATCCTCAACTACCTCACCAGGAGCTACATCGAGCGGAAGGTGCGAGGGGAGAGAGGGGTGGAGACCTGCTGCCAACTCCCAGGGGTCCTGGCGCCACGCTGCCCGGGCTCCTCTGTAGCGGGTGCTGAGGGCTACAGGCTCCCGGCTCTGTTCTGGTGGCAGGACCTGGCCGGGGTAGGGGAGCCCCAGCTTGGATCTCAGAGTTGGGGGGGTTGCCAGCCCAGCTTTGTCAGCAGGGCCAGGCCCTGGGAGGGAGGGATCAAATCGGGCGCCCAGGGCCATTTCCCAGGGGCTTTCCTGCCTGCTGTGCCCCCGGGAGGTCCCCTAGATCCAGTCTCGCCACGAGAAGGTGCCTCTCCCCAGGCCGCAGGCTCCTTAGCACCCCCCCGTGGAGCCTGCATACCAGCTCCCAGCTGCTTCCCGCCCTGTTCTGTTTCCGGCTGGCCCTGGCACGGGCGAGTCATAGAATCATAGAATACCAGGGTTGGAAGGGACCTCAGGAGGTCACCTAGTCCAACCCCCTGCTCGAAGCAGGACCAATTCCCAGCTAAATCATCCCAGCCAGGGCTTTCTCAAGCCTGACCTTAAAAATATCTAAAGAAGGAGATTCCACCACCTCCCTAGGTAACGCGTTCCAGTGTTTCACCACCCTCCTAGTGAAAAAGTTTTTCCTAATATCCAACCTAAACCTCCCCCACTGCAACTTGAGACCATTACTCCTTGTTCTGTCATCTGCTACCACTGAGAACGGTCTAGATCCATCCTCTTTGGAACCCCCCTTCAGGTAATTGAAAGGTAGGGCAGGCAGAAATAAAACACTCACCCCCACCCCCCCAGCACTGCCATCCCCAACCCCTGATGCACCAGTGGAAGAGATGGGGCCCAGGAGGGCACCATGGGGCTGGGTGGCTCCCCATGTGTGTGCTCCACGGGTCTTGGCTGTGTGGTCCCCCAGCTCTCTATGGGGCCCTGGCTGACTGTGCTGTGCCCATCCCTCTCCCGTCGTGCCCCAGGAGCTGAGGGGCAGAGCGCTGGGGCAGGGCCTTGAGTGCTAAGCTGGGCAGCTCCGTGGTCTGCACCAGGCTCAGGAGAGCCGCCTTGGGGGGGCCAGTTGTGGGGCAAGGAGGCTGCTGTCACTGTAGAGACAGCAGGGGAGGGGCTACCCCATGACCAAGGGACACAGGTTGCAGGGCTGCTCACACAGACCCGCACCCCTTCTCTCTGACCTCCAGGCCCAGATCCAGCTGGACTGTGGCGAGGACAATATCTGCGTCCCCGACCTGCAGCTTGACGTCTTTGGGTAAGGCTGGCAGGAGGCACTTCGGGCAGGGGCAATGCCGGGGGGCATCTGCAGTGACCAGCTCAGAGCGTGGGGTGAGCTGTGGGCAGCAGTCTTCCCAGGGGGAGCAGCCCCGCCCTGTGGGGGGATGTGGTCTAGCGGTGCTGGCTGGCAGAGACGACTGGTGCCTGATGATAGCGGGGGGGGCCACAATTTAAAGGTTCCCCCCCAAACAACTTGAGTCACGCCTCCCCCCAACCCTAGCGGCCCTTCCCTGCAGCTCCCAGCTGTTTGCTGCTCCCTCTCCCCACGGCCGCAGCTTGCCAGCACCAGGAGCTGCCTCACAGGGAAGGGACCTGGCCAGCAAACCCTGGAAGAAATTGCCGGGGGGCATGACCCCAAGTGGGGCCCCCCCATGCATCACCTCTACAGGCTGGGAGCTAGGACTCCTGAGTTACATCCCTAGCCTCCAGCACCCTGCCCACGTCTCAGTGAAGGGTCCATGCTGGGACCAGCGCTGAGGATGCTCTGGGAAGCCCGGGCATAGGGCAACCCCCCGCAACCCCCGTCAGGCTGAGGGTGCAGAGGGCTGGGAGCAAAGATCAAGGCCAGCTGCCCAGGTGGATGAGAGCAGGGCATTGTGCATGAGTTGCCAGCGGGGCGGAGCAGGGAGAGGGCACAGTTAAGGCTAGGGAGGGGCAGTTAGCGCTGGGGGTGGGGCAGGGAGGGGGCTATGAGTGATGCTGCTCCCCCAGGCTGGGTTTCCGGGCTGCAGCCCCATCTTTTCTGGGTGCTTGCGTGTGGCAGAGACCCTGGGGAGTGTTTTTACCTCACCACGAGGTGGGGCTGTTCCTCAGGGCACCTGCTGCCTTGGGCTTTGGGGCAGGTCTGCCCAGATCTGGCTGGGACAGCGCAGGAGTGGTGTCTGGGGGTCATGGCTCAGGTACCCTACAGCAGGGTGCCAGCTTCCGCCCCCCCCCCATCAGCTTCCTTTTCTTCCACCTCCCTCCCTCCCTCTCCTGCTGCCCAGGGTGCCCAGTGGCTGATGGTGCCCTGCTCTCTGGATCATGGGGTGTGAGAGGAGAGCTGCCCCCTGGGTGTGGGGCTGGGCAGTCCCCGGAGGCCCCAGGTCAGTGGGGTGGGGTGGGGATCGCCTCTGTCTGGTGCTGGATGGGAGCCCGGGGACGCTGCCCAGAGTGTCCCCCTCTGCTCTGGACCTGCTCCAGTTTCTCCCGACCCCATGGGCCTGAAGCGGCTGGGTCTGGTGTGGTGCTCATCCTCCTGGCAAGGCCCCGATGTGGTGAGAGGAGGGCAGGAGCTCAGCCCCCTCCCTCGCAGAGCTCTGAGCCCGGCCTGGAGGAGGCCCGCTGCGGTACCCCAGCTGCGTGGGCGACGTGACTCCCCCTCCCCCACACACGTGGCCTAACGCAAAGCAGCTGTGCCCACATCTGGAAGCCCTTAGCCTGGCGCTGAGTGTAAGCGGAGCTGGGCGGAGCGCAGGCAGCGTGGGCACAGCTGTGTGAACAGCAGGGTCCCCCCCCACTAGCTGCTGAATGGGGGTTCTGGCTGGCAGGCGCTGTGCAGGCAGCAGGTAGACTGGTCATGCCGTGCCGGGGCGGGAGGGGCCGTGTCTCTGCCTGTGGCAGGGCCAAGGCCAGGATGTGCCCGCTGGTTCTCATGCCCGTTGTGCCCTGCAGGGAGCACAGCGTGGTGTACCTGGGTGACAAGAATGCCCTGAACCTGACCTTCAACGCCCGCAACCGCGGGGAGGGTGGCGCCTACGAAGCCGAGCTCTACGTCATCCTGCCCGCTGAGGCTGACTACTCTGGGGTGATCCGCAACCATGGGGTAGGTGGCAGAGACACCCGGGGATCAGAGCACCCCGCAAGCCATGCCGCAGCTGGGTCACAGCTGGGCAAGGCCCTCTGCTCTGGGAGTGATGCAGGCTCCAGGGACATTGCTCCCGGCTGCTCCCTCGCAGTGCCATGGGGCCCATGGCCCTGGCTCGGGGCTGCAGCTCCTTGGCATGGGCCCCTCGGTGCCAGTGTGAGCCCCCGGAACAGGGTGGCCTGGCATGTGCTGCCTGCTGTAAGGGGACCCCTGGGGACGGGACTCCTGCAGGGGAGCTCAGGTGTGCCTCTGCTCCCCACAGCAGGGTGGGTACGGGCAGAGGGCCCGGTATCTCCTCTCCCCTCCATTCCCCGTCCTCTGCAGACCCCCTTCCCCTGCAGCCCTGCTCTGATCCCAGCTTCCTTCCCCTCCTGCTCAGAACTTCACCAACCTGAGCTGCGCCTACGAGTCAGTGAACCGGACCCGCATGGTGATCTGTGACCTCGGCAACCCCATGAAGTCGGGCACCAGTGTGAGTAGCTGTCCCACAGCTGGAGCACCCTGGAGAGCTGCCCCGGGCAGTCCTCACTGGGCAGTGCCCTCTGCCCCCTGGGAATGGCCACCCAACTGAGAGGCCAGGCAGGACAGCTGGGTGCCATGGCACTGAGGTGTCTGGCCATTTCCAGTGGGCATTGGGGAGGGTGGGGTTTTGGGGTGCCTGGCCTGGTGAGGCTCCGGGTGTGGGGGTGGTTGGGTGCTAGGGCAGGTGGGCATTGGGAAGGGCAAGGCCAGTGGGGCACAAGGGTGGCTGCATGCTGCGGTATGTGGGGTGCTGGGACAGCTGGGCATTGGGGAGCTGGGGAGTGGGGGTGGGGCAGGCAGGGAATTTTTCCCTTTGTTCCCAGGAAACCTGCTGCTGGGAGCTGCTGGCATGTGTTGCCGAGGGCCCAGCTCTCCTACGGATGAGCCCAGGGGCCGGAGCACGTCAGGGGCGGGCAGGGAGCTGGGGGCAGATCGGGGGAGGGGGTGGGCAGGGAGCTGGGCTGTGAGAGGCCGGGGGCAGTTTGGGGGAGAGGGGAGGGCAGGGAGCTGGGCTGTGAGGGGCCGGGGGCAGTTCGGGGGAGAGGGGAGGACAGGGAGCTGGGCTGTCAGGGGCCGGGGGACACATTGGGGGCAGATGGGGAGCTGGGCTGTCACGGGACAATGGGCACATCAGGGGCAGGTGGGGAGCTAGGTCCTTCCAGGGAGCTGGGAGAATGGAGCCATTAACTCTCCTCTGTCCCCCAGCTCTGGGGGGGCCTGCGCTTCACCGTCCCCCATCTTCGTGATAACAAGAAGACCATCCAGTTCGAGTTCCAGATCCGGAGGTAATGCCAGGCATCCTTTTCTCCCCCCCCGCCCACCCCCACTCTGGGACCCGCCCTCCCCAGGTATGGGTTGGGGTCAGGGCTCCCCACTCCCATAGCCCTATTGCTCCCTTAGGGAGGATCCCAGGCTGGGGCACTCCCATGCAGGAGCCCAGATGCACCCAGGGCTTATCATAGAATCATAGAAACATAGAATATAAGGGTTGGAAGGGACCCCAGAAGGTCATCTAGTCCAACCCCCTGCTCGAAGCAGGACCAATTCCCAGTTAAATCATCCCAGCCAGGGCTTTGTCAAGCCTGACCTTAAAAACCTCTAAGGAAGGAGATTCTACCACCTCCCTAGGTAACGCATTCCAGTGTTTCACCACCCTCTTAGTGAAAAAGTTTTTCCTAATATCCAATCTAAACCTCCCCCACTGCAGCTTGAGACTTTTTCCTGTTCTGTCATTCTCCTAGAACAGTCTAGAGCCATCCTCTTTGGAACCCCCTTTCAGGTAGTTGAAAGCAGCTATCAAATCCCCCCTCATTCTTCTCTTCTGCAGGCTAAACAATCCCAGCTCCCTCAGCCTCTCCTCATAACTCATGTGTTCCAGACCCCTAATCATTTTTGTTGCCCTTCGCTGGACTCTCTCCAATTTATCCACATCCTTCTTTGTAGTGTGGGGCCCAAAACTGGACACAGTACTCCAGATGAGGCCTCACCAGTGTCGAATAGAGGGGAACGATCACGTCCCTCGATCTGCTCGCTATGCCCCTACTTATACATCCCAAAATGCCATTGGCCTTCTTGGCAACAAGGGCACACTGCTGACTCATATCCAGCTTCTCGTCCACTGTCACCCCTAGGTCCTTTTCCGCAGAACTGCTGCCTAGCCATTCGGTCCCTAGTCTGTAGCTGTGCATTGGGTTCTTCCGTCCTAAGTGCAGGACCCTGCACTTATCCTTATTGAACCTCATCAGATTTCTTTTGGCCCAATCCTCCAATTTGTCTAGGTCCTTCTGTATCCTATCCCTCCCCTCCAGCGTATCTACCACTCCTCCCAGTTTAGTATCATCCGCAAATTTGCTGAGAGTGCAATCCACACCATCCTCCAGATCATTTATGAAGATATTGAACAAAACCGGCCCCAGGACCGACCCTTGGGGCACTCCACTTGATACCGGCTGCCAACTAGACATGGAGCCATTGATAACTACCCGTTGAGCCCGACAATCTAGCCAGCTTTCTACCCACCTTATAGTGCATTCTTCCAGCCCATACTTCCTTAACTTGCTGACAAGAATACTGTGGGAGACCGTGTCAAAAGCTTTGCTAAAGTCAAGAAACAATACATCCACTGCTTTCCCTTCATCCACAGAACCAGTAATCTCATCATAAAAGGCGATTAGATTAGTCAGGCATGACCTTCCCTTGGTGAATCCATGCTGGCTGTTCCTGATCACTTTCCTCTCATGCAAGTGCTTCAGGATTGATTCTTTGAGGACCTGCTCCATGATTTTTCCAGGAACTGAGGTGAGGCTGACTGGCCTGTAGTTCCCAGGATCCTCCTTCTTCCCTTTTTTAAAGATTGGCACTACATTAGCCTTTTTCCAGTCATCCGGGACTTCCCCGGTTCGCCACGAGTTTTCAAAGATAATGGCCAATGGCTCTGCAATCACAGCCGCCAATTCCTTCAGCATTCTCGGATGCAACTCGTCCGGCCCCATGGACTTGTGCACGTCCAGCTTTTCTAAATAGTCCCTAACCACCTCTATCTCCACAGAGGGCTGGCCATCTCTTCCCCATTTTGCGATGCCCAGCGCAGCAGTCTGGGAGCTGACCTTGTTAGTGAAAACAGAGGCAAAAAAAGCATTGAGTACATTAGCTTTTTCCACATCCTCTGTCACTAGGTTGCCTCCCTCATTCAGTAAGGGGCCCACACTTTCCTTGGCTTTCTTCTTGTTGCCAACATACCTGAAGAAACCCTTCTTGTTACTCTTGACATCTCTGGCTAGCTGCAGCTCCAGGTGCGATTTGGCCCTCCTGATATCATTCCTACATGCCCGAGCAATATTTTTATACTCTTCCCTGGTCATATGTCCAACCTTCCACTTCTTGTAAGCCTCTTTTTTATGTTTAAGATCCGCTAGGATTTCACCATTAAGCCAAGCTGGTCGCCTGCCATATTTACTATTCTTTCGACTCATCGGGATGGTTTGTCCCTGTAACCTCAACAGGGATTCCTTGAAATACAGCCAGCTCTCCTGGACTCCTTTCCCCTTCAAGTTAGTCCCCCAGCTTAATTTGTAATGAAAGAGGTGTCGGGGCTCAAGCAGTTTTTTTACATTCTTAACAAATGTGGCAAGTCCAGAGGTGCCGGGGCTCTGACTGGCCAGGCCCGGCGGTGCCAGAGCTGTCCCCACGGAGGGAGTGGGCCGTCCCATGCAGGGGAGCAGGGAGCCATGCGGGGCGCAGCAGGGAGCCATGCGGGGGAGCGGGCTGCTCCGTGACACGCTCTGCTCTCTCCACAGCAAGAACGAGAACAACTCCCGCAGCGAGGTGGTGGCGTTCCCACTCCGCGTCGAGGCCTCCGCCAGGGTCTCCTCCCACGGGTGAGTGTGCCCAGCCTTGAGCCAAGGGGGCCTGGCCTTGGGGTGGCCAGCACTGAGTCCAGGTCCTGCTAGCTGCTCCTTTGTAGCCCCCCAGCGCCCCTCCAGAAAATAGCCCCCTCCCCCAGTCACTAATTCACATCCTGCCCAGGCGGGCAGGGAAGTCCTGGCCCAGCTGTGGCTGTTCTGTGGCCCCTGCATGACACGAGTTCAGCAGCTCTCAGCGCAGATCACCAGTGGCTCCACGCTGCAGAGGCTGACTGGGCTGCGGAGACAGATCCCCAGGGCCAGCAGCCAGTGACCACCTGCGCCTGCCCTGCAGGGTCTCCAAGCCTGAGGCCGTGTCCTTCCCCGTCTTGGGCTGGAAGCCTGGCAGAAATCCAGAGAAGGAGCAGGATGTGGGCCCCGAGGTGCAGCATGTGTATGAGGTGGGTGTCATTCGCAGCACAGCTCCCCTGGCTGGCAGCATCGGGGCAGGGAGCAGCGCCATACCCCCTGCAGGCTGGGTGGAAGCAGTCCAATCTTCCAGCCTCTCTGCCGGGGGATAGCGGGGGGGGCTGCGGGGCCAAGACAGGTTGGGGAGGGAGGTTCTGTGGGGCCAGTATGGGAGGAGAGGGGCTGCCTGTGGAGCTCATCTGATCGGGAGGCCCTGGGGGCCCATACTGAGAGGGAATGTTTGGGGGGGGTGCACACTCCACCGGGGCACTCCGTCCAGGCCAGCTGGAATGTCCCACTCCCTGCTTTCTCCTCTCCTCTTGCCTGGGGGTCGTGGGCCCCGGGAGGCCACGGCACAGCCAGGTGGGCTGCCCCATTCTCGGTGAGCCCGGCACCCCGCGGGACACTGCTGCCTGGCACAGACCCTCTCACTCCCTCTCTCCCCTTGCAGCTGGTGAATGAGGGTCCCAGCACCATCAGCCATGGGGTCCTGGAGCTGAGCTGCCCTGTGAGCTTCCAGGGGAAACCGGTGATGTACGTGACCAGCTACTTGGTGCCGGCCAACTGCACCTCCAGCCAGCCTGTCAACCCGTTGAAGCTGCAGGTAACTGGAACGCAGGGTTGGCCCCAGGCAGGGCGAGCTTTTGTGTGCTGCGATGGGCTGGGGCTCTCCACTAGGGGGCAGTCCCCTAACCACACTGTCTGCACAGGGGCCTGGGGCAGGGCAGCAGGGGCTCAGGTTGGGCCAGCCACATGCTGAGTCAGGGCTTCCAGGGGCTGGCAGTTGGGTGGGGGTTGGAGTTTGTTTCAGGAATCGCAAAAATTAGTGAATTGGGAGGGACAAGCACAGAGGAGGTGAGAGCTTCTGGGAAACCTGCTAATGCCCCAGTCCTGATCTAAAGCTCCTGCTACTCTTGCCCTGCCCCCCATGCTCCTCATTGCCACCCGCAGCCCCTGCTCTAGCAATGACCGATGGCATTGAATTGTATCGTGTGTTTCTGTGCGGGGGATGCCATCCCATGCCCCTTCTTGGCTCCTGTTGCCGATGTCGCGTTGCCTGGAGCGGCTCAGGACCTTGAGTGCCGAGTCAGGCAGACTGTCAGAAGCAGGGTAGATGCCCCAAGCGGGTGGTATGTTCTGTAATTCGATTTCACTAAGCCAGTAACAAGTGTGAACTCCTGGATCGCTGTACCAGCCTTACCATGGAGTCACAGACCCTCCCCTCAGACTCTCCAGTCTGTTTTGCCACTGGACTTAATGATAAATGGTCACACACACCAAAAATCACACCACATCCAAGAGACCAGTCACTTACCCCAGATCAACTGATGCTCTAGATCCTACTCCAAAGACCCAGTTCTTTACTTAACTGTTTAAAGCTGTAGCCAGTTCTTTACTTAACTGTTTAAAGGTTTATTAACTAAGAAAAAGCAATAAGGGAGTTATTTACAGGTTAAAGCAAGCAAATGTACACACACCATGAGTTACCATCTCAGTCCTAAGAGGGAAAGCATTGTAGTGATCTGTCTTTTTCAAGTGTCTTTGAATTCCCTGGGGATCTCTGGCCTCAGTTTTGAGTCTCTGGCCCTTCAGAGTTCAAACAGCCAAAAAGATGCTGTTTCTTCTTGTGAGAAAATTTTATTCCCTTCCCCCAGAGTTCAGGATGATGGGATGAGTCCATGGGATGTCTCCTCTTCTTGGGTGGAGGGTCTTTTGTCCTCTGACATTCCCCAGTGGTTTGTCTGGTTCTATTGGCAGTTTCAAAGCAAACACTTTCACATTACAGAGCAGACACTGAAATCTGACCTTATACCATGGGACCCAGACATTATCAGTGAAATGAATACATTACTCCTGGGGGAATTCTGTGCCAAAAAAATAAAAATTCTGCACACAATATTTTAAAATTCTGCAAATTTTATTTATCAAAATAACACAGTATAATCAGATTAGTTCCAATATTTTGGTAATTTATTCCAAAATACCTGTCAGCAAGTCTGTCTGTAACAATACAAACAACAAAAAACATTTCCTGAATGTTTATTGACAAATAGATGCCTTACTAGGCATATTAATACAGAACTTTGAGTAATAATTCATTTAAACTACAATACAGAACCATATTTCCTGCCCTCCTCAGAAGCAGTGCAAAGGCTGGGTGGAATCAGGGTAACATAGGAGCTGAGGGAGAGGGAAGTAATTGCTGGGAAGAAGCCTGGATGTGAACTTGGAGGATTGTTGGGTGTGGGTGGGAAAAGTATGGAACAGGGTTTTTTTCAGGGGAGAAGGGGGATTGTTAGGGAGCCTTCACAATGCGGACACTGGCTGACCCCCTCCCCCATATGTCCCTGCACCCCTTGTCCACATGTGCCCCTGCGCCCTCACTCAGCCACCCCCCACTCCCATTCAGCCACGGCTCCAGTCTTCCCTCCCACTAGCCCTTCTGAATCCCAGTCTGTGGGCCCCACCCAGAAGCCCCATGTGCCACACGCTGTCCATCCGCCCCAGAGCCCAAGCCTCCTGACCTGGTCCCACAGGCAGGGCGCTAGAGGAATGCAGCCTCTTCTCTTCCCTATCTGCAGCTGGCGCTGCTCCTGCCTGGGAGTGGCGGCTCTGTTCTGGCGCCACAGCAGCCTCTGGTGGGTGAAAGGTGTAGCTGCAGCACGTCTCAGCCGAACGTATTTTCTGCTGAGAAAAAAAGTCTGCACGGCACATGAATTCTGCGCATGTGCAGTGGTGCAGAATTGACCCAGAAGTAATACACACAGCAATGTACAAGCATTCCATAGAGTCTAGACACTAAAAACATTTTTATAAGACTAATATCCATTTTGAGCAAAGCTAATGTACAGGTGACCTGGTCTGGTCTCCAGCTACAAAGCCGTCAGTTCTTAGCTAGTGCCTAAAGCCTGGGCAAGAGCTGGCATCTCTCTTGCAAGGGTCACAGCTGGATTGCAGTCAGAGGGGTTGGCAGCTGTGGGACAGGTCAGAAGTGCTTGCCTTTACCAGTGGGGGTGGGATCTAGCAGGGGCCTTGCAGGCCTGGCATCCCCACCCTGCCCTTCCCTTGCACAGGGCATGTGGGGGGCCAAACGAAGGTGACTCACTCTCCTTGGAATGTGTTTGCAGCTGGAGCAGAGACCCACCGCCTCTCCCACCTCGGAGCAGCATTACCTGCAGAGACGAGACGCGGCGCGGAGCAGTGGGGCCTCCGGGAGCCCTCACACCCTGGTCAGTGCTTCTCTGAACTCTGCACACCCCAGGCCAGGGGTCGTTGATTTCTGTGTGCAGCTGCGCCCAGGGTGCCCTGTGACTGCTAGGGGAACAGTGCACAAAAATGAGTCTCCACCCAGCCCTGGAGTGGAGAGTCATGACACCCACTCCCCAAGGCCTATGGGCCTGGCACGCATGAGCAGAGTGTTGCCCATGTCCTTGCCCTGTTCTAATTCAGGAGTGTTTGGTGCATCCAGCCTCCTGCCATTGCACGTGGATTCAGATTCTCCTCCCACTCCCACGCAGCACTGCTGTGTGCTGTCCTGCACCAGAGGTGGCTGCATTCTGGTTCTGCCACTGCTACCAGCCTCCTTTTCCATGCAGAGCCTGGCGCCAGTGATGGTTGCTCTGCCTTTCAGAATGCCGAAGCTAATCCCAGTCACTGGGCTCTCAGCCCGGGCTGTCTCCACCGAGCCCCCATTCCTGGGGCTGCTTGCCAGCAGCCACAGGTGTCCCAAGGTCTAATGTTGGAGATGGTCACTTCTATTCTGCTGGGCCCCAACCCTTGCTGTGTCCCTGACCCTCTGTCCAATGGCCTCTCCCCACAGAAGTGCCCCGAGGCTGAGTGCTTCCAGCTGACCTGCCAGGTGGGGTTGCTGCAGAGGCAGCAGCGGGTCAGCCTGAAGCTCTACTTCCGGATATGGGCCAAAACTTTCCAGCAGGTGAGTGCTGCTCTGTCCCCTCCCACCCCCACCCCCAGGGCAGCCATGTCTGGGAGCCCCCCACACATGCTCCCCATGTGGGCCTAGCCTGGGGCCTCAGCTTTCCTGTCAGCAGGGGCCTCCTGAGTCGCTGTCTGTCCCCCAGGGCTGTCAGCTTTTCTTTAGTGCCTCAGTCCCCTCCAGCCCTGGGTGTCTGCGTGGCTCCTTCCATTTGCCAGTGTGTTTGGCAGGCTGGGGGTGGGGCTCCCCTTTCCCTGCTCTGGGCAGGCTGGCTCTGCCATCTGTCTGTCTGCATGGAGGCCCCACATTGCAGCTCCCACTCACTCAGCCCTGCCCTGGGGTCTCTGTAGGAACTCTCCCCCCCACACACACACATCCCCACACCAGGGGAGCTGTGACACGGATGAGCTCCCTGAGTCTCCACAGCATCCCAGGGCACCTGTTGCTCCCTCCCAACCAGGCTCTTTGCTCAGACCCATCCTACCTGGGAAGGGGTAAACGGGGTCTCGCCCCCCCTCCACTCCTCCAGACCAACTCACGAGAATCACCCTGGGCGGTGTCAGCTGCTTCCAAGGATTGCTGCAATGTGTGGGTGGCACACGGCACCAGCCTGCCCAGCCCCCAAGCAATCCCCAGCAATGCACCTGCCTGCCCAAGCCCCCAGCAATGCACCTGCCTGCTCAGCCATCTCCCAGGCCTGCAGCAATGCACCTGCCTGCTCAGCCCCACAGCAAGGGTTAGCTGGGCTCCTGTCTGCCAGCCTGTGTCCAGATGTGAAGTGATAACAGCACCTGGTGGCCATCCCAACCCCTGCACTCTCCCAGCTCCATTGCTTGTTGCAACCACAAATTCACATCTGTTTCATAGAATCATAGAATATCAGGGTAGGAAGGGACCTCAGGAGGTCATCTAGTCCAACCTCCTGCTCAAAGCAGGACCAATCCCCAACTAAATCATCCCAGCCAGGGCTTTCTCAAGCCTGACCTTAAAAATATCTAAGGAAGGAGATTCCACCACCTCCCTAGGTAACCCATTCCAGTGCTTCACCACCCTCCTAGTGAAAAGTTTTTCCTAATATCCAACCTAGACCTCCCCCACTGCAACTTGAGACCATTTCTCCTTGTTCTGTCATCTGCTACCAATAAGAACATAGAATCATAGAATATCAGGGTTGGAAGGGACCCCAGAAGGTCATCTAGTCCAACCCCCTGCTCGAAGCAGGACCAATTCCCAGTTAAATCATCCCAGCCAGGGCTTTGTCAAGCCTGACCTTAAAAACCCCTAAGGAAGGAGATTCTACCACCTCCCTAGGTAACGCATTCCAGTGTTTCACCACCCTCTTAGTGAAAAAGTTTTTCCTAATATCCAATCTAAACCTCCCCCACTGCAACTTGAGACCATTACTCCTCGTTCTGTCATCTGCTACCATTGAGAACAGTCTAGAGCCATCCTCTTTGGAACCCCCTTTCAGGTAGTTGAAAGCAGCTATCAAATCCCCCCTCATTCTTCTCTTCTGCAGGCTAAACAATCCCAGCTCCCTCAGCCTCTCCTCATAACTCATGTGTTCCAGACCCCTAATCATTTTTGTTGCCCTTCGCTGGACTCTCTCCAATTTATCCACATCCTTCTTGTAGTGTGGGGCCCAAAACTGGACACAGTACTCCAGATGAGGCCTCACCTCGTCCACTGTCACCCCTAGGTCCTTTTCCGCAGAACTGCTGCCTAGCTATTCGGTCCCTAGTCTGTAGCGGTGCATTGGATTCTTCCATCCATCAATAAGGACCCTGCACTTATCCTTATTGAACCTCATCAGATTTCTTTTGGCCCAATCCTCCAATTTGTCTAGGTCCTTCTGTATCCTATCCCTCCCCTCCAGCGTATCTACCACTCCTCCCAGTTTAGTATCATCTGCAAATTTGCTGAGAGTGCAATCCACACCATCCTCCAGATCATTTATGAAGATATTGAACAAAACCGGCCCCAGGACCGATCCTTGGGGCACTCCACTTGATACTCCAGATGAGGCCTCACCAATGCTGAATAGAGGGGAATGATCACGTCCCTCGATCTGCTGGCAATGCCCCTACTTATACAGCCCAAAATGCTGTTAGCCTTCTTGGCAACAAGGGGACACTGTTGACTCATATCCAGCTTCTCGTCCACTGTAATTCCCGGGTCCCTTTCTGCAGAACTGCTCCCTAGCCATTCGGTCCCTAGTCTGTAGCAGTGCATGGGATTCTTCCATCCTAAGTGCAGGGCTCTGCACTTGTCCTTGTTGAATCTCATCAGATTTCTTTTGGCCCAATCTTCCAATTTGTCTAGGTCCCTCTGTATCCTATCCCTGCCCTCCAGCGTATCTACCACTCCTCCCAGTTCAGCGTCATCTGCAAACCTGCTGAGGGTGCAATCCACGCCATCCTCCAGATCATTAACGAAATTTGCCCAGGACAGAGCCCAGTGTCCCCTGATTGCAGCCTGGTCAGCTCGTCCTTTCCCTTCTCCTAACCCCAGCCAGGATCCCTTCGCTGCAACTGTATCTGGGGTCACCCATCGCAGCTTTTTCCGGTGCGGCGTCAGCCCTGCTGTTATGGCAGCCCCACAGCTGGTAGCTTAGAGCTGAGCTGGAGCTGTTGCATGCTGCTCTTGGTGCCTGTTGGGCCTTTCCAGCTAAGCAGGGTCAGCCCTGGTCAATGCTGAGATGGGAGACCAGCAAAGAGCACCCAGGGTGTGCAGGAAGCATTGGGGGATGCTCTCCCCTTACTCAGTCCTGACCCCAATGCAGCATAAGGGGGTGTTATGCTGCAGTGTGGGTGCCCCCAGGGTGAGAATGGCTGTGCTGCGGGGGGCAAGTTGGGTGCCAGGGGTGAAGGGCTGACTGTGCTGCTCAAAGGGTAGTGGAGGGAAGGTGTAAAACCAGGGTCCTGGCCCTTCTGGTGGTGCCCTGCTCTGTGGGTGGGTCATCTCCCCACCCCAAAGGCAGCTGTATCTTGCAAAGCCCCTCCAGGGCTGTTAGCTGACCCCTGTGTTACCAGCACCCATGGCTTCCTGGACCTGAGGCCGACAGAAGCAAATTGCCCTGACATCTGGGCCATGCATGAGCTCCAAGGGCTGATTGCTGGCAGTGCCCAGCCCTGTCCTGAGCCCACCCTCTCCCCGCGGCCATTGCCCAGCTGCGCCGGGGCACCCGCTACCCTCCAGATCCTGTTGCTGTATGTTGCCAACCTGCCCTTCCGGGTTTCCCTGCAGAAAGAGAACCAGCCTCAGGCCCTGCAGTGCGAGGCCGTGTACCAGGTCCACAGGATGCCCTACAAGATCCAGCCCCAGGATTACCCCAGCGAGGCCTTAAAGGTCAGTGGCTGCCCATGGGCCATGCAGAGCGGGTGGGGCAGAGGGGGACATATGGGGGGTGCCTGGGGCAGAGTCAAAGCCCAGCCCAGTCCCAGGTGAGAGGAGCCTGTGGCTGGTCCCCACCACCCCCACCCCAGGCCCAGTGACCAGCTGAGTGCGTGTGTAGGAGAGGACCTTAACCTGCCGTTCCAGGCTGGTCAGCTCTCTGGGAGCTCAGAGCGTGGGAACAAGGTCTGGGCCCACATGGGGTTCAGGAGAGCAGCCTGCTACAGGCCGGGGAAGCAGGAGGCTCTGAGGGGAGCCCAGGCCCCAGCTGCTGTCTCACCCTCCCCATCTCACGGCGTCGGCAGGTGTCCACGGCGATTCAGTGGGCGAAACTGGAGAGCAGCCACGGGGTCCCGCTCTGGATCATCATCCTGGCCATCCTGCTCGGGCTGCTGCTGCTGGCACTGCTCATCTACGTGCTGTACAAGGTGAGTGCACGGGGCTGGGAGCGGCCGGCTGGAGCTGCAGAGTGCCTGGGCTGGGGTGCGGGGGGGGTGGCCAGCAGCCTCCAGAACCAGCCCTGGGAGCAGAGGCCTGGCTGTCCTCCTGCGGGCACACTGCACCGGGGCTGGCAGGCGTCACTCAGCTCAGCAAGGCTCGCCGCACCACTGGGCAATCGGTGCCAGCTTCCCCGGGCGTGCAGCTGAGAAGCAAGCACTTCTCGCTGCCCATGGGCATCCCTCCCTCCCCAGGCAGGGAACAGGCACCAGCACCATGCAGGTCCTGAGCCAGTGGGCTGGGGTCTCAACACCTGTGAACATCCACCAGGCTCCAGTGGAGGAGGGAGCTCTCCGCAGGCTGGGATAGAGCAGTGCCAGGGTGGGGCTCTGCCAGCAGGGAAAGGGCAGGCGAGGGTCTCCCAGAAAGAACTCCACCCAGGACTGGAGTTACAGCTCTGGAGCTTGGGGATCAGTAGGGGGAGGGGCTGGGATTCCTGGGTTCTATGCCCAGCTCTGGGGTCGGAAGTGGGGCAGGTGACGGGAGCAGGGGGCCTGGGAGATGGGGCAGGCGTTCTCGGGGCCGCTGGGGCGTGCTGGGGTTCCAGTACTGCCTTGTGCGCTCGCTGCCCGGCTTCTCTGCCTCTTGTCTCTGCAGCTGGGGTTTTTCAAACGCTCCCTGCCCTACGGCACGGCCATGGAGAAGGCTCAGCTCAAGCCACAGGCGGCCTCAGAGGCATAGCGGGGCCAGGGCCGCCCGGCTGCTCTGCGCATCTGGGCTCTGTTTGTCTGTCTGTCTTGTTTGCTTTTTCTGGTGCGGCCGCCGCAGAGCAGCATCGGGGAGGGGCGGCGCGGCCTGGCACAGCAAGAACGGGCTGCACCCAGCAAGCTTGCCAATGGGGCAGAGACAGACCCAAGGAAGCCCCACCGTGGGGGGCCATGAGGTGAGCCCCCAGGACTGCAGCAGCAACTGGAGAGCGCCCTGCCCGCTCTGTGCCTATGGGGTGGCATCTCTGCCTCCCCTCGGCGCCAGAGCCCGGCAGCCACCCACTGCCCTCTGCGGGCGCCCCGGCGGGTCAGATGCTGAGGGCTGCGCTCTCCAGCCATGGGCAATACTTGAAGGCTGCCGGGAGGCCCTGCTGGGCTCTGCGGAGCCGTGGACTCCTCCCGCGGCCCAGCGTGAAATGCCGTCCCTCTGTCCGACCGGCTGGTGTTGGCACAGGGTCATGGAGTCTGAACTGGACAGTTTACAAGCTGCCCGTCCACTCAGACTTGCCGGAGCTAGGCTGGACAAGCACAATCACCCCATGCAGCCACCGCCATGGAGCTGGGCAGGACTTCCTGCCTTCCCCAGCCCACTTCCTGTCTGAGGCAGCTCCCCCGAGGACATGATGGACACTTCCAGTCAGGGGTCCTCGGGGCCACTCTCAGCGATGCCAAAGATTGCAGCATAGGAAGCCGAAGCCATGGCCCGCCAGCTGTGCCTGCACCAGCCCTGAGCTCGCAGCCCGGCAAGGGGCTGCGGCCAGGATTCTGGGCTCTAATTTAAAGTCTCTCCAAGTGCAATAAACCCTTCGACGTCAGTATTAATCTTCTTAATTATGATCAGGAATTTTCTCATGTGGTTGGAGGTCTGGCCCAGGTGCTCCCCGCTTTGCACTGACCCCACGTTGTAGGGCCAGCCCCCTCCCCAGCCCCATTCCCCTTCCCCTCCAGCCTGCTTGCAGCATCTCTAAATTATTATGTTATGTCTCCTGTCTGAAATCCGGGGGTGGCCCCGAGCTGGCCCTGCACTGCCCTCCGATGCTGGCCCTCAGGGATGGCATAGCCTGGCAGGACCCCCATGGAGAGCGCTGGGTTTTGCCTGGCTTTCCTGTGCAGCTGTCCCCAGTCTGGGCAGACTCTGCCCTAGAGAGGGATGCCAGAGCAGCCTACTCCGCGGGCTCTGCCCCATCGCCCCCTGAGCCACGCGCTGGTGCCTAGTCTCGCGGCCAGGTACCTGGTCTCACTCCCAGACAGCACTTGCTGTTGAACTGACCCCAGCCATTCCAGCAGGAGGGGTGTCTGAGGGGGCTCTGGGCTCCAGGTGGGCACTATGTGGAAAGGGCAGCTCTTGCCCTAGTGGCCCAGTCCAGATACCAGCACTGCCGGTGCCAGCAAACAAGACAGCCAGGCTGCTGGAAGGGCCAGGACTGGAGCTACTGTGCAGCCAGACCCTGGCCTAGAGCCCCCATCCTCTCACTGGGATCCCAGGTAGCACACCCTTCTCAGGGCCGGGAACTCCTCGCTCTGCCAGGCTGAGCCAGAGCCCTGGATCCTGACCCTCCCTCTCCCGGGGCCAGGGGGGCTCAGATGAGATTGTAACTCGTGCTCCCAGGGCCGTTCTGGGGGTCCAGGCCGTCAGTGCCTCAGGCAAATTGGGGTCCAAGTCTTCATTCCTCTCTCCCGCAGGCCATGGGCAGGGGATCGAGGGCGGGGTCCCGTGGCTGGGGGTGGGGCTCTGGCAGCTGCTGGATTCTCACTGGAACGTGGCCCACTGGGATCAGGGCTCATCAGAAACGCCAGCCCTGCGGATCTCTGCAGCCACTGCCAGGGCAGGTGCAGCAGCCGAGAGTCAAAATTGCACTACAGCTTGCAGCCCCTGCCAGCCCGGGTGGGGGATCCTCTTCTTGGTATTTATCCTTCCACTTTATATTGGCTGTTCCAAACAGCCCCCCAGCACCCTCTGCCCTCCGTGGGGGCAGATCCCAGCTCAGGAGGCCAGAGCCCTGGTGTCCCTTGGTGCTGTGTACTGGGGGGACGGTCCCTGGGACTGGGGCCCTCCCCATGGCGGACACTCTCCCCTCTCTGTTCTGTGTTGATTTACTGTTGGTTTGAGAGAAGTGGGGGAAGGGTTGGAAATTTTTGGTGAATGGGGGGAAAAAAAACAGGTTCCCCACCCTCCTCTCGAAGGAAAGTGAGCGGGGTGGGGGGGGGCTGTTGTCACTAATTGGTTGGGGGGGGATCCAGCTTCCTGCCTCAGGGAGGCGCTCACTCTCTATTGTTGTTTTATTATTAAATGTGTTCTAAAGACCCTTCCTCGCCTGGTCATTGATGGCTCTGCCTTGGTCACCCTCGGGCATGATTAGTGGGTGCGAGCAGCACTGGGGAGAGAGAGAGAGGATGGGACCTGTGTGTGTCTGTGTGCGTGTGCATGTGTGCTGCTGCCCCCTGCTGGTCAGGATGGGACCATGTGTGCTGCTGCCCCCTGCTGGTCAGGATGGGACCATGTGTGCTGCTGCCCCCTGCTGGTCAGGATGGGACCATGTGTGCTGCTGCCCCCTGCTGGTCAGGATGGGACCTGTGTGTGCATATGCACCAGTGCACCCTGCTGGAGCACATGGGGCTGGTGTGTGCCACTGCAGCCTGCTAAACAGGATGGGACCTATGTGTGCGGCTGCATGCGCTGCTCCCCCTGCGGGAGAGGGTGGGACCTGGGACTCCGTGTGCACCAGCCACTCAGCAGCATCCCCAAAGCCTGTGTAGGGTGCCCCGGCTCCCTGTACAATCCGCGTGGGGAGAGAGGAGCCTAAGAATGAGCTCCCCAAACGCCAGCCAGCTAAGCCAGTCAATAGCAGAGACCAGCGAGGGCTGGGGGGTCCTCTCAGGTGCCCAGATCCAGGCTGCAGGGGCCGCCTTTCTCTGCTGGCCACTGCCCAGAGCCCCTCTCCTGGAGTCCAGCCCCAAGTCGGGTCTTGCATGAACAGCAGGAGCACCTGCATCACTCCAGCTTTTAACCCTCAGCCCCAGGGCTTTGCACATTCACCCTGGATGTGGGAAACCCTGGTTCAATTCCCCTCTCTGACAGGGACCCCGGTCCCATTCCTTCTCCCCATCACCCAGGTGAGAGTCCTGGGCTATGGGGTGTTCAGGTGCTCTCAATCTCCTCCCCACTCTATAGCCCACCTACTGCCCAGGGCACCCCCCTGGGCAGTGGGATGTCCCTGTTCAAATCCCTTCTCAGGCCGAGGGGGTCTCCTACAGCACAGGTGTGTACACTGGGCTAAAGCTTAGATCTCCTACAAATGTAGAGCTGGAAGGGCCTTGAGCTGCTAGCTAGAGAAGCGCCCAGCTAAGGCAGTACCACGGGAGTCTAGATCTTTCCTTTCTAAACCTTCGATCCTTTTTGTTACTCTGCTCTGGACTTTCCTGTTTGCCTCTTTTCTGAAGTGCAGCACCCAGAACTGGACACAGGACTCCAGCTGAGACCTCACCAGCTCGAGCAGAGCGGGACAGTCACCTTCTGTGTCTTACATACAACACTTCTGTTAATCTGCCCCAGAAGATATTAGCTTTTTCACAACTACATAGCGGTGCTGACTCCTATTCAACTTGTGATCCACACTAACCCGCAGGCCCATTGCAGCAGTACCGCCACCAAGCCCGCTGTTCCCTAGTGGGTAGATGTGCATGAGTTTTCCTTCCTAAGTGAAGTACTTTTGCTCCTGGGGAAATTCTGCACCACTGCAGACATGCATAATTCACGTGTCCCACAGGATTTGTTTCCTCCCACAGAAAAGACTTTTCTGCCCACGAAGTGCTGCAGTTCCACCTTTCGCCCACCAGAGGCACTGTGGTGTGAGAACAGCCAGCAGCAGGAAGCAGCCAGCTGTTCTGGCACCACAGTGGCCTCTGGTGGGAAAAATATGGAACTGCAGCTCTTCTGGGGCAGAATGTATTCTCTTGCAGGGGGTGGGATTCTGTGCATGCCCAGCTGCAGAATTCCCCCAGGAGTAGAAGTTCATCACAGCACCCTGCCTGCGGAGTCGGGTTTGGACTGAGCAGGCCTCTGGGGGAATCACGGACGGCTTCAGAGTGGCTAGTGGCGGGGGATAGACTGGAGTGCAAGCTCAGGGGATAGTGGGGTGACAGCACTGAGCCTAGGGACAGGGGAGAGGGGCTGCAGGGACACATGGGGATGGGGGGAGTGGGGGATGGGGCAGATGTGCCTAACTGAATGGGAGAGGCTTTTACCAGAATCTTTTTTGTTCTGTATTGTTATAGACATACTGGCTGACAGGTATTTTGAAATAAATTGACCAAAATTATTAAAACGGGCATGATTATATTGTTATTTTGACAAATAAAATATGCAGAATTCAGCAGAATTTAAAAATATTGCATGCATCTCCCAGGATTTCCAATAGGGCCAGGTATCACCAGAGTTGGGCCCCTGTGCTGCGGGCCCCTGCAAGGGATCGCCAGCACTGGGCCCGTTCCCCATGGCCAGGCCAAGGACCTGTGCCAGGGATCACCAACGTTGAGCCTGTTCCCCATGGCCATGCTGCAGGCCCCTGCCAGGAATCACAGGCGCAGCGCCCATTCCCCATGGCCGAGCTGCACTTCGCCAGGGATCGCCAGCGCTAGGCCCATTCCCCATGGCTATGCCGTGGGCCCCTGCCAGGCATCGTCAGCACTGGGCCCCTTCCCCATGGCCATGCCATTGGCCCATGCCAAGGATCACTGGTGCTGGGCCCATTCCCTATGGCTGAGCTGCAGGCCCCTCCCAGGGATCACCGGGTCTGGTCCCGTTTTCAATGTCCATGCTGTTGGTCTCTGCCAGGGATCACCAGCACTGGGCCCGTTCCCCATGGCCATGCTGCAGACTCCTACCAGGGATCGCCAGTGCTGGGCTCATTCCTGATGGCCATACCGTGGGCCCCTGGCAGGGATCACCGGCACTGGGCCCATTCCCCATGGCCTTGCCACAGGCCTCTGCCAGGGATTGCCAGTGCTGGACCTGTTCCTCATGGCTGTGCCGCGGGCTTATACCAGGGATCACCTGGACTGGTCCCATTTTCCATGGCCGTGCCACAGGCCTATGCCAGGGATCACCAGCGCTGGGCCCAATTCTCATGGCCGTGTCGCAGGCCCATTCTCCCTGGCCAGGCCATGGGCCCCTGCCAGGGATCGCTTCCCCTTGGCCAAGCCGCTGGTCCCAGCCAGGGATCACCTGTGCTGGATCAATTCCCCATGGCCGTGCCGCAGGCTCCTCCCAGGGATCACTGGCGCTGGGACCGTTCCCCATCACTGTGCTGTATGCCCCTCCCAGGGATCACCGGGGCTGGTACCGTTTCCCATGGCCGTGCCGTGGGCCCCTGCCAGGGATCACCAGCACTGGGCCCATTCCCCATGGCCATGCCGTGCGCCCCTGCCAGGGATCAGCAGCACTGGGCCCATTCCCCATGGCTGTGCCTTGGACCTGTCCCAGGGATCACCAGCATTGGGCCCATGACTAGGGAACACCCTGGCGCTTCTATGATGAGCTCCGTAGAGCCCAGACCTTTTAGCTGCTTCCTCTGGTCCCATGGGGCTGAGTCGCCACTTTGGGCACCAGGAGGCTTGTGGCCAGTGTCTGCCCCCCAGGGTCCCGCTGGCCCCTTTCAGAATCCTGCACGAGGCTTGTGCAGCATGTCACTGCCCTGCAGGGGGGTCACATCTCCATGTGTGCCACATCCCAGCAATTCCTGTGATGGCAGCATCACACCCAGGCTCATTCTCACTGCCCCTGGGCCTGCTGCAGCCAGGCTCCTCTGGCTCACTG